AAATGCTTTAGATTGATGTTGTGTTAAATTTATTTGCAGATTTTTAATGTTTAATGGCATAATAATGAATGATTGTTTTGATTTTTTTTAATATAATTAAAAAATTGTGATATTTTGATTGATGATGTGATAAATGATGATGTATTCTTTTTTTTTTTAATTATGACCTTATGAAAAAATGTGATTTTGAAATTTTAAGTATAAAAAAATTTATTTATAATATATACAGAATTATTTAATGTTATTTACTCGAAATTTTTATGGTATATGAAGATTATTTCATTATTAACCCTTTAGGGATTATTATTAAGAATTGGACAAATAAGAAAAATTTTTGAATGAATTTTTAATATTTTGGTAAATTGCATAGTTATAAATTTTTATAATTTTGAAAAAAATTCGTTGAGACACTAATGGATGTACCAGACATATATCCTTGAAGGGTTAATAATTGTACTTTTTACACGAAATATAATTATACGTGATGAATATTGTATATGAATATTATGTATTATAAATATTATGTTGATATATATAAAATATTATAATACATATATTTATATTTGAATGTACATAGTATATTTGTTCTATAAATTAATACTCGTATTATACTATAATAAATACCATTGTTTTTTATTACAATTCATATTGATTATAGTACAATATTTTAAAATATGTAATTGTTTTAAAAATAATAAATTATTTAGAATTTATTGATAATAATTGAAATAATATACAAATAATTACATTCAATTACATTATTGAATTTAAAATCAATGACAAAATTAAACTAGGAATTATTTAAAAATAAACAAAAAAAAAAAAATTATTTGAATTTTTGAAAAATTTTAATTGATTTTTGAATCATGTAAAATTATCATAATTAATTAATAATGAATGTAATTTATTTGTAAGCAATTAAAATCTGAAAGGTTTTCTATGCAATTATCTAAACATTAGTTTTTATAATTTATTGTGAATTCATTATGATAATTGTAAATATTAATAGTTGTATAAAATACTACTGACAGACATATTATGATATCGATATTACAATATTAATATTATAATAATTTCAATGTTATAACATTAAAAATCGGTGACGAAAACAAACGTACAATAGTGTTTAAATTAAATTGTTATAAGTTTTTTTAACAAAGTTTTAAAAATCGTTTGTAACGCTAACAAATAGCTTTGTCTGTCAGAACCCTACTTAAATTGGTTATAACTGAGGTATTGGTTTGGGTAGCATCCTTAAAATTTCCAAATTTTTTTGGTTTAATCTCAGAAACTATGAAAGTTGTGGTATTAAAATTTCACAAAAGGGAATATATTAGTAGACCAATGTGTTTGTGAAAAAGTCGTTTAATTCTTTGCTCTTTCTAGCAGCTTCCATTCAACTTGAAAAATTATTTAATTATATCTTAAAAACTTTTCAACCCACAATATTGAAATTTTGATCTCGTTTACATTAAATATATCAAATAATTCAATTCGAATTGAATAAAAAATTGTTGATATATTTGTCATCAGAGTGCTCTGTTTTACAAAATTATTAATATTGTGTTTGTTATTACGTTTAAAGCTATCTAATATTAAGCACATAAAGCTAACTAATATTAAGTTAACATTAGAGAATATGATAACATCGACGCAACATACGTCTATCAGTAGTATAATATATTTATATTTTATTAAATATTCCTATATATATAAATATTCTGTATATAATTCATATTGAAAGGAATGTAGGGGGATTTCATTATAAAAGATTAAATAAATTTAATATAATTTGTATTACATTATATTATAATATAAAATTACCTAAATTAAACCTATATAGTAATAATTTTAATATATAATTAATTGTTTAAATAAAAAAAAATAATATAAATAAAACTTAAAATAATTTAAACACAGTTATAATTTTTTTTTTTCAACTTTTTTTCTCATTTATGTTTTTATTAAATATTTTAATGTTAATATCTTATAATTATTTTTTTTTTTAATAATAATAATAATTAATAATTAATAATAATAATTAATAATATAATTACTAGTAATTATAATATTAGATAATTCATAGGTTTGTGTTTTTTTTTTAATTTTTTATTTTTTTTTTTTGTTTTAAGAATTTATAACAAAATTATTATTTTTTTGGTTGTTTTTGTTTTTTTTTTTTGAAATTGCGCAAATTACAATATAGTGAAGAAAATTTGCAAGCAATTTTTTTTAATTTCACATTTTTTGTAATTATTTTAATTAATTTATTTCTTGTTTTTTTTTTTGCTTTTTCTTCAATTTTTATTTCTTTTAAATAATTTAATTTTAAAGTTAATTTATAATAATTTTGTAGTGCATTTTTATTTTTAATTATATTACAATTCCAGTTACATTTTAATTTTATTTTAAATTCTTATTTTCCTAAATTAAATTATTAAATTTCATTTTTATAGCATTTTTTTGTATTTTTTAATATTTCTCTTTTTTTTTGTTTTGTTAAATAAATGCACTGTTATTTAATTAATTTTTTTGTTATATAGTATTAATTATTATTATATTTGTTGTTTTTTTTTTTAAATAAATTAACAAAATATTTGTAATCAAAATATCTAAAAATTATTTTTTAAATATACAAATTTTATTTTATTTTTTTTTATAATTATTTTATTTATTTAAAAATTAGTTTTTTTTTTTTTTTTTTTGGTTTTTTTATAATATTTTTTTATGTTTTATTATTTATAATTAAATTAATTAGCTAAACCTAAATAATTCTGCTATATTTTATTATAAATATTGAATTTTTTATTTTTTTTTATTATTTTTTTATATTTTCATTTTTTGTAGTGTAAAATAAATTATGATGAATGTATTTAATTTGAATTTTATTTTTTTTTTGTTTATTTATTTGCAGAAAATGAATTTATTATTTTGTTTTTTTTTTATTTCTTTTTTATATTTATTTTCATTCTAATATGGACTATGTATTTTTGAATTATTTACAATTTTTAATTTATTATATAAGAATAAGAGTTTTTTTTTTGTTTATATTTATATTTGTATTTATATTTAAATAATTTAATTTTTTGGTAATTTGTTAATTTTATAATATTGTGGAATTGTGGATAAATGAAAATTTAAGAAAAATATGATAGAGTAAAAGAAGTTCAAGTAAAATTAGAAGAGCGGGCGGAGGGCGGATGTGAAGAAATTAAATTAAAAATTATATTTATAATATATTTTGTACAAGGGGGAAGGAGAGAAAGAGTGGGAAATAAAATCAAGATGAATGTTTTGTTTTTTTTATGTTAATTTTTTTTTTATTAAATTTATTTTAGTTTTTAATATCACTATTTTGTTTTTTTTTTTTTTTTGTAAATTTAATATTTTTAATATTACATTGGCAATTCCCTCATTGTGTTAATTTTTTTTTTGTTTTATGAATTTTTCGAAAATGTTCTATGTATATTTTATGAATGTATTATGAATGAAACAGAAAATTTGAAATTTTTTATATAATTTTTTTTACTATTTTGTTATACTGATTTTTTGTTTGTTATACTGTATTTGTTATATTTATTATAGAAAAGTTATATTTTGCAAAATTTATTTTAATTTCAATTAAAATTTTGTTTTTTTCATTGAATAGAATATTAGTGAAATCTTGATCTAAATAATAATTTGAAAAAATGAAGAAAGTGTTACCACTACTTTAGTATTATTTACAGTAAATTATAAAATGTTGTGTTGTTTTCGAAGTGCTTATGTTATTTTGTATTTTTATTATTATAAAGAAAATATTAATATAGTATAATAATAAATTCAAAAATTGAATTTGGATTCGGCAAATTGCTTAAAATTATAACCCGACGAAATATTATGTAACTTAATATTGGAATTTTTTTTAAAGTTATACTCGTAAAAATTAATTTTTTAATTTTAATTGCAATATAAGTACAATTATGATAGAAATTTATTCAATGGTTTTAATAATTGAAAATTTTTAAAATTAAATTTTTTTTTTTTGATATGTGATCTTTGTTTTTTCAACATTTTACTTATTTAGAATTAGAAAATTAATTGAATTAAAATTTTAGCTGAGAAAATAGCTACATTTTATTTAGATTTCACTGTACTTTTGGACATTATATTTCCATTATCTTTTATTATTACAAAATATATTTTTAGTGTTTTAAACTTTTCTTTAACAAATATACCAAAAATTCATTATTAATTTTACAAGGTATTTTTCAATTAAGTATTTTATTTTTTTGTTTTTTAGCTGTAAATGGGTTTATTAGTTACAGATTTCTATATTATCAAATTCATTTTTTTCTTATAAATTCTCTTAATTCCTTATATAATTATCCTGCATTATCCTTTGAAATTCTTGTTTCTTTTTCAATATTTTTGTTCAATTATTATTGAATTTTGCGTTTTACTTTTATGTATATAATATATTCGAAATTTCATTTATTAAAACTGTTATACGTACTATTGAATTATAATGTGATAGAAATTTAATAATATTTTATAATTTATTTATATCTGCATAGTTTTTACAAAAAATTTACAAGATGCAAGAGAAAAAATTTTAAATTAGAGTTAATCTATTGCACAAATTGTCCCTTTTACTAAAATTTTACAATTATTATAAATATTGGTTTTCAAAAATATGAAAATACAATTCCTAAGATTTCACGAACCATACAAAAAAGTTGTACCATAAATGAATTTTTAACAATATTTTTAATAGAAAACCAGTTGGTTTGATTAAGATTAAATTAATTTTAAGAATAAATTTAAAGTTATTTTAATTTTTGGAATATGAAACCTATTAGAAATTTGATAGTAAAAAACTTAGAAAAATAAATGAAATTTCGAATTCAATTATAAAATTGAGTAAAATCAAAAACATTTATAAAATAATATCAAATTTTAATTTCAAAATTACTCCTTATTATTAATATTTTAAATTATTTTCAAAAGTTGTGTAAAATTAAAGGTTTACACTTTATTAATTTATTATAGAATATATACAAAATAATTATAATACAAATATGTACATAGAAATAGTGAATATTTTTCTTATAATATAAAATTAATTAATTGAAATTAATAAATAAATCATTAAAAAAAAAAAAATTAAATTTAATTCTATTGTTATAAATGTTTTGATTCTACTGTATTATATACATATCGTATATACATAATATATTCTGTTGTAAATATATATACAATAATGTTTTTTATATAATATTATAAAAGGCATACGCGTCTGCCGCCAAATCTATTATTTTCCTGTTGGCTTAAAAATTTTTATTAATCAAAAATAATTATTGTTGGCACAACTTTTATATAATTTAATTGAACATGAAAATTTATCATATAAAAATTGAATAATTTCTTAACTAAACGCCAAAGATTATAATTCAAATCGTTAACTGTCATATTAATGACAAAAATGTATAGAGTTCGGAAATGACTTCGGAAGCGTTCGTGTTTAATAAATAATTCCGGTTAGGTATTGAAATAAAAATTTGGTTTAGCGAATTAAAAAGAATTGAAAATCAAATCTGACATTAGAGATGGATACTTAAATAAAAATGTATCTAAACAATTATTTTTGATTAAAATTTTCTAATATGAGGAACAGTGATATCTCGACAACAAGCGCATAATGTCCTTTGTATAATAAAATATTATTTGAGTTTACAATTTCATTTCAGTGTTAAATTAAAATTTTTTAATATTTTATTAACAAAAAACAAAAAAAAAATATTTTCAATATGAATAAATTTATTTTTTTTCCTAATTTGTTTCCATTGTTTCAGCCTTATATTTTGACTTCATTATATTTCAGTGTTGCATACTGTGTATTACGTTTTGTTGGTGGTTTTGCTAATATTATGCCAGTAATACTTGATGTTTCACAAATATCTTCAACTTCTTCATCAACTTCTTTATTAATTTCATCTTTTTGTATTTTTTCAATTTCATTTGATTTCAATTTATTTTCTTGATCTGTTTCATCTTTATTTTCTAAAGATGATTTTATTAATTTTATTGTTGATTTTTTATTTTGAATAGAATTTTTATGAAATAAATCATCAGATTTTGATTTGATTTTTGATAATTCTTGATCATTACTTGAATTTTTTTTTAAATAATAATTTTTTTCACAGTTATCAACATTATTTTGTTGATTATTATCACAATAATTATCATTAGAATTTATTGATTGTTCTTCATTATTAGGGGTTTCATTATTAAATTCGTTGGATTTATAATTTTCATTTTCATGTTGATTTGATTGATAACAATTATTATCAGATTTTGTTGTTGAAACAATATCAAAATCAACATAAATTAAACGTTTCCCAACAATTGTACTATTTGATGCAGATGAATTAGCATCATCATCATGTTGCATAAATATTTCATCATCATCTCTATCATTATCATCATCATCTTCTAATTCAGATAAAGAATGGTGATTTTCTTTATTTTCAATAAAATTCATTTGATTATGTGCTTGTTCGGATATAATCTTTTCTTCTGTACATGGTGAATTTTCTCTAGAATTTTCATAATATGTTGAATAACGTTTACTATCATATGATTCTATATTTGATGCATGACGTTTTAAACTAACTATAGGATATCGATTATGTATTCTTTCGAAATTTAATGATTCTTCTTCTGTTTCTGTAGCATTACTATTATATTGATAGCGATAACAATTTGATTCACTGTCACTTAAATAATTGGTGGTTGGAAATGTTGTTGAAAATTTTGTTCTATTAACTGGTGAAATCGGTTTAAATGCTGTATTTTCATTTAAAAATGGTCGATAAATTAATGGTCCACCAACCTGTTTATAAATATTTTTAATATTACTGGCATCTCTTAATATTGTCGAATCAAATGATGATGTTTGTAATGCAACAGCTGCAGCTTTTGCTTGTTCTTTTTGTATTTGATGCAGTTTTAATTGACCTAGCATTGTATTAGGATTTGGATAGTATTGTTGGAAATGAAAACTATGATGTTTACGTAAGGGTATTTGTTTAATTGATTTAGTTATGTAACCGGGATAACGATTTTTAATCATTTCATAAAATTTATTATTTATTTGTGTTGCATGTTTTGTATTTAGTATGTCATTTGATAGTAAACGATTACTAGTGGTTTCGTTTTGTGTAACAATATCCTTAATTGATAATGATAATGATGATGATGATTTTTCTTTTTGTTGAAAATCATTATTAATTATTCTATTTTTTAGTTGATATTTTGCATTTAGAGATTTTGATGTTATTATTGAAGATTCAGCATCAGAATTTTCTTTCTCTGTTATACTTTCAATATAACTTTCGTTGGGTTGATATTGGATTTGAGACGATTTCAATTTCTTATATTTATTTATTGATGATATTGGTGTTATTGATGAAGATGCTTGAATTCCATCACAAGAAGAGGTAAAACCTTCACGTACTGTTGATGCAAAAGATGATGTTGATGAAGGGGATATTGTTGAAGATGACTTGAATTCATCACTTTGACTTGATGTACTGCTAAAGAAGCTACTGCTACCTTTATCATTGATGCTATTATTACTGATACAACCAGATGATGATGATGAGGATGTTGTACTTGGGGATGTTACTAGAAAGGGGTTAGTATTTATGCTACGCTGCTGTTTTGTATTGCAATTTTGAGTTTGTTTTTTTTTTTGTTTTATTTTTTTAGATGAAATTTTTTATATATAAGCAACAAACCATGGCAAAAAAAGTAAACAAAATGTAAAAAAAATGTTAATTAATAATAAAAAAAAACATAAAATTAAAAAAAAATATTAATTAATTAAAGAAACATAAAAAATTTCAAAATAAGAGTTAATTTTAATGTTAGTTTTACAAAAGTGCACTTAATCCCCTTAAGCTGATCAGTAATTAATTAAGGTAAGACATTTAGGCAATTTTTTAAATGGACCTTCTACATTCAAAATCAATTGTAAAGTTCTTCAATTGGAAAGGTGAATAATAATAATTATCTTGAAATTTCTGACTGTATGCTAAGTAAGCTACTAGAAATTGACTTCATTTTACTATTACATTTATATTAATTGTTAGAATTAAATGAAGTTTATATTTAATCTTTAGCTTGTCATTGAGTAGTTCAATAATATTTATATAACTCTGCAATTTTAATGCTTTGAGTTTATAACACCTTCTCTGACTCAAAACTGAAATTTAACAAAATTGTTCGGTCATATTGAATTACTAATAATGTCACATAATTGAGAATTGGATCAACTTTCGATTTAGTGCAAAATATTTCATTTGAAAATTAAAATTAAAAATAATTTTATATTCAAATAAATTTAATTAATTTGCAAAAAAAATTTAAGGAAAATTATTAAAACAAAAAAATTATAGCTACTTTCTACTCATATAATTTTATTGCTAAAATAATAATATATATAATGGAACCAACCTCATGACCAACTATATTTGCTGTACCATTATAAGATGAATTCGCTAAGGGTGATGCTGTATTCGTACGTCGTTTACTACCAATTTTATTACTGCTATTAATTATTATATTTGATCGACTATTATCAATAGTATTAATTGATGTATTTGATGTTGTAATTGTTATTGGTTTCTTTTGATTGTGTTGTCGTTGTTCATGTTGGTCATTCTTTTTATTTTGGCACTTTACTGATAAACCATCATGCATAATATTATTAGTTTTATTAGTTGCATTTATTATATTAGAAGCAGTAGTTGTAAAATCATTATTAGTATTTACTACATTTATTGTATCAGCTATTGAATTTTTTTGATTAGTTGAATTCGATGTGTATTGACTTTTATTGGGATTATTGAGGTAGAGATGGGATAATTCAGGATTTAATAAGGAATTATTATATGTACTATTATTTGTATCATTATGTAAACGATCAAAATCATTTTCTAATAATTTACGATTATTTATTGAATTATTATATGATGATAAATTTGTTGATGTTGTTGATGTTGTTGAATTAATAGCACTATTATATAATTTATCGATTCGATTAGTTTTTGTAACATCCGGGTTACATTTATCAATTGCATCACCAAAATGATGATGATTATTTATAATATCATTATCTATATCATTATCATCATTATCATTTTTATTATTAATACATATTGTTGTATCAATAATATCATCATCCAATAAATTATATTGGCGTGGTGGTGCAATTGGTGTAACACATTCATATGAGCTATTTGATATACCAGAATCACTACGATATATGCTCATACGTTCGGGTTCCATTAAATGTTTTTTTGTATTATCATCGTTCATTTTCTGGCGTTGGGTTTGATGATGTTGATGTTTTTGTTGATTTTGCTTTTGTATAATATTATATTGATTACCAATACCACCAACAACAGATGATGTTGTTGATGATGTTGATAAATTAATTGAATTACTTAATTTTGATGATGATGATGTTGATGATCCTGTTGTTACTGTTTGATTATTTTGTTTATTTGATGTTTTTGTTTTAGATGTATTAATTAATTGTTGTTGTGGTTGTTGTTGTTGTTTTAAATGTGTTTGTGTATTTATATCAGATGTTTGTTGTTGAATTAAATTTTCACTTGGTGATTCATGTATTTGTATTGAATCAGTTAAATTTTCATATGTTGGTGGTTCATAAAATTTTATTTTTGGCTGCATTGTATATGGTAAATTATTTGCTGTTATATCAATACTATTATTTGTATCAATACCATTTATAACATCAGCAAAACTACCACCAGCAAATGAATGATGACGTTTACATTTATTATTACTATTACTATTATTCGAATTCGATAAAAGTGCTGAAGGTTTTATTGATGAAAAACTTAAATTATTTTTATTTTTTAATGCTTTTAAGGAATAAAATTTTTTTTCACCTGAACCGATTATAGAATTATTACTAGAATTATTACTGTGATGTTTTTTACGATGATTTGCGGTAATTGTACCACAACCTGGACGTGTTCCGGTACTTATTTGAAATTTACGAAAATTTGTTGCTAAAAATGGATTCGTTGAATTTGAATTATTAAATACTATTCTAGATGATGAAACTGATGATGATGATGTTGATGATTGTGGTGCTAATTGTGTTGTTGTTGATGTTGGTGTTATAATACCATTTTCAACAACAGTATATGGATAATTTGGATTTAATGTTGTTCGATCAATTAAATTATTTTGATTATCAGAAGAAATAATATCAGAAAATTTTTGTTGTTGAAAATATTCTGTATAACTTGTTGGAAAACGATCTGTTGTTACCCTTGTAATATCTTGTAAATTATTATCAATAGTTCCGCCTACAATTGGTTTACGTTTTTCTAATTTTAATGTACTTGAACCATAATTTAAGTTTTTCGTTTTTGTTTTATTTTGAATTAATTTTAATGAATTTGTATAACAATCAGCTGGTGAATATTGTTGTTGAATTTGATAATGTAATTGTTGTTGGGATTGATGTTGATTTTGATTAGGGAATTGGATAGATTTTTGATGGTAATTATTTTGATTATTTGTTGTTATATTTTGTTGTTGTAATTGTTGTTGATTAAATATTTGATGAAATTGATCAAGATTTTTCTGATGATGATTATTAGTTTGGGTTAATTTTGGGCGAGGTGCGACACGTACAACATTTGTATTATTATTAAAATTTATAGGAGTCGTAGTAAACTGTAATTAAAGTGTTAAAAAGAGAGAAAAAAAAAACAAGCAAATATTTTTACAATTGCATTAATATGGCATTAAATTAGAAGTTATTTAGTTTTAATTAAAAAAAGCATGCGTGTTATATAAATATATTGTAATATTTTTTGTTTTAATTTTTTTTTCTTAAATTGTTAATAATATATTTATAGCTATTTTATTAGTTTATTATTATATTTGAACTAAAACAGGGAAGGAAAGGAAAATAATCCCTATAAAATTAACAACAAAACAAAATTTTTCATTTTTTATTCTGACAATAAAAATTAAAATAATTTTAAACAAATAAACTCAATAAATACAAAATTAAATTAATTATTAAAAATTTATAAAACTAAATTTCATAGTCAATATTCAATATATTTATATATGTATGTATTTAAGAAAAAAAAATCTTTAAATATTAATTAAAAACTAAAAAATTCAATTAAAATTAAAGTTAAAATTAATAATAAATAAATTATCTAATTAATAACTAACTACTTAAAATTTCATTTATTTTGTTTTAGTATTAATATAGCGTTCATATTCAAATTAGAAATGAGTTTCCAAAAATATTTTTTCGTGTCTTGATTTGACTAGTAAATATGAAATTTTTTTTTCGATTTCATAGTTATTATTGTTCAATTCGTTGTAGAAATTTGTTTTAAATTTTATAAAATGTTTCTGAAATAATATCACATTTATATAATATATTTAATTTTTAAAATAATATGTTAGATATTAAGCTATCATTAACATTGTTTAACTAAATTTGGTAATGCAATTGTGTAACAAGAAAGATTTATTTATTAAAAAATTAAATACATATACAAATTTAAAAAAATTAATTACATATAAAATTTAATAGGAACTTGAACGGAATGCAATCTAGATCGTAAAAAGAAATGTACGATATAGTATTTATTAAATTCTCTATTCTGAATTCAACATAATTTAATGCAAAAAAGGCCTATTTTTGCTTATATTAACATTCTACGATATGCTTTTAATCGTACCAATTAATCTGAATCGGATTTCCTATTTGGAAATAATCTGTTGGAAATTCCAAACTATATCATACCGAATTTTCAATTATACACTTATCGTGTATGACAAACTATATATTGCATTATAAAAAGCTCAATATCGTAGAGCTCTATCGTATAAAATTACTCGTATACTATTGAATATTAGAAAAGTAGATTTGGGGGGAGTATTTTAGAAAATTTTGAATTTTTTTTTAATTTTGAATTTTTAATTAAATAATAAGGACAATCCAATAAAGGAAATGCGTATAACAGATTTTATATTATCCGTTATAATTATGAAAAACATGAAAATAAAATAATCGAAATAGATTATTATTAACGCATTTCCGTAAATTTCTTATATTAAAAAATTAAATTCTTATAAAATTCGTTTTTAAGTGAAATTCACGTCATCTTGTATTTTTGGAATTAGAATTTCTAAAGTTCCAAAAAAAAAAATTATAACAGTTCTTTGTGTATTTTTATTTTTAAATATTTTAATAAATTTTTTCTTTTCTTGTTATTGCATTTAAAATTTTAAAATAATTAAATAATTTTAAACGTTAAATATTTTATAAACGAGTTTACAATTATTCGACATTTTACAGTATAATTTCTAAAACAAGTTGTACAAAGTCAACTAATTTACATTATAACAATATTCTCTTTTTACATAATTATTATATTTTCAATTAACATAATCATTGGAAAATTTTTTATTTAAATAAAAAAATAATACAAAACTTATAAAATAATAATTAAATTATTATAATAATAAAAATTAACATATAATATTATTTAAATAATAATATATACGAGTATAACAAAATTACAAAAATAAAATAGAAAATATTATACAGTCATTATATTTTATATAACACTTTTATTATTATATACATACTATGGGGTGTGTATATCTAATATTGTAAAAATATTATAATAGGCTGCGACCGAGATAATTTATGTGATATTTTAAAATATAATAGTATTACCATTTATTTTTTTTTTTGTTTTTTCGAATAAAAAATAAAGAAAAGAAAAAAAACTAATATAACTAAAATTTACAAAAAAAAAAAAAAATAATAAAAATTTATAACACACATTTTGTAATAAATTTTTCAGAGTTAATTAAATGTATAGCTGAATTCGTGTTCTAAAACATGTGAGATACTTTGATAATGGTAATGGTAAATAATAATATATGTAAAAATATGTTTATATATTATTCGTGTATGTGATTGAATTATAATTAATTATTTGGGTATATTTTTATTTTGAAATTTCCTGTTTTATTTTTAATATTAGAAAATTTCCGTAAACGTGATAGGTGTAGAGAAAAAAGAGGAAATTAAAAATTTTGCCCCTGTAAGTATGCAATTTTTTGCATTTATGTAATGGTATTTACATAAACAGAACAAAATGATGGTATTTGACAGAACAAAATGGCAATATCAATTCACAATTTGACATTTTTGAAAAAATACTCAATTGACATTGTCATTTCGGAACATATGGAATCCAGAATAACATCCTTTGATTTACTTTATAATTGATTGCAATATAAAACAGGAAATTGTTTTTGTAATAATGTATTATAATGTTTATTACAATGCGTATAACAATGTGTTTATGTAATTCAATTAAAATAAAAAAATCATAATTATTGAAAAACCCTATAAATGTTGATTGTATAATTTACAAGTAAAAAAAAAAAATTCGATAATCCAATTTTTCTATAAAACTTACAATTTAATGTAGATATAGTGTAATATATAGGTGTAATATATAATATATGTATGTTTATAAATTTAAATTTATAAAAAAAAATTGATTTATAAATTATATTTTTAATCAATTTATTAAATGGTGAATAATAATTATAAGTAAAAATTATAAATGAAATTTAATGAATATTTTGAAATGTTTAATGTGAATAATGCGAATGTAAAACAAAATATTTAATTATAATGTAATATGTATGTAACAAAAAATAAAAAAAAAAAAAATATGTAAATGAATGAAAAATTTATGTAAAGAAAAACAAAATTATATAAGAAGCTAAACTATATTATTATCTAACATTAGACATAGACACGTGACATAATTAATGTAGTACACTATTTATTATTATATTAAAATATATATGTATGTATGTATATATATGTATATGAATATTAATATTTAATTATAAATTATAATATTATAATTTCGTATATTTATGAATATTTTAATTATCTACATATTAAATGAATACTTTGCATATATTTTACTTTATTAAATTGAAAATATCGTAATTTTTTCTTACCTTATTTGGAGCTTGTTGAAGGCCATGGAACGGCAGATTCTCATACTCTCCAGGTTCCGTTAAAGGATCCGCCAAGGTAGACGACTTGTCGTGTACTGTTTTATATTATTTTTTGGTTTTTGTTTTTGAGTTTTGATTTTATGTTTTTTTTTATTAATTTTTTTTATTTGTATATTTTTTTTTTCCGAGGTTTATGAATTATTTTTATTTAATTCATTTTAATTGTTTTCATTTTTTTTTTTTGGGTTGAAAAATGAAAAGATAAGAACAAAATGAAAGATAAAAATTAAAAATTAAATTTTGTATAGTAATAATTAAAAAAAAGAATTAATTAATTATAATTAAAAAAATAAATAATTATAAAATAAAAATTATAAAATATAATTTTATATTTTTATATAATTAATTTAATTTTAAAGAAAAAAATATTGAATTAAATTAACTACTGATTCTATTTTGAAAAGAGAGTTTTGATTGAGTAGTAAACGTGTTTAATATACAAAGAGTATGCGATAAGTAAGCATTAACAACATGGCACCTTGCTTAAATAGTCAAAATAATTAAACGGCGGCGTAGTTTTAATTCATGAATTAAACATACAATTAAATTTGAAAATTTATTGGAGGGTTGTCTAAATATCAACAATAACTGACTTTATACTTTATATTTTATGAAATAGAAATATTTGGTAATTTATTTAATTATTTATTGAAATGTTATTAAATTAATTAATAATTTTAATATAATTAAATTTCTATTATATATGTATTAAGAATTAATATTATTAATAAAATTAAATCTGAAACCCGTTAAAATGTTTGCGAGTATAGAATCAACAAATTTTCAAGAATTATTTTTAAAAATATTAAATTTACGATATTTAATCCGAAGTATCACAATTAAAACTCAATTTTCAAAAATAGATTTTTAAAATAAAAATATTAATATTAATTTTATTTTACATAATAATATTCTTTTATATATAATATAATAGTTGGTGATGATTAATGGTTTTATTTTTATATTAAATGCAAAAAATAAATGAAAAAAATAATTTTATAATTAAAAAATATATTTTAAATTTATTAAATTGAAAATTACAAAAACTTAATATTTTATCATTTAAATTGGAGATTTCAATTATTTAATATTATAAAAAGATTTTAAAATTTGAAAAAAAGAAAAATTATTTTTCGAGTTTTTAAGATTATACAATTACTAAAGGAATAATATTTTAAGGATACGAAGGAAATCTTTTTTAGGAATTTTTGAAATTATTCTATTTTTTTGGCTAACATAAAATTTATAGATGGTTTTCTTAAATTTGAATTTTAATAAAATTTGTACAATATTAAGAATTATTATATTTCTTAATTTAAATTTTTTTCATGCTGTATAATTTTTTCTGATAAAATATTATACAATTTTTTTTGTTATTAATATTTTCTTTCTTCATTTTTTTCTTAATTACGATAATAGTTATCTAGAATCTAAAAAGATATATATATATATATGCTATATATATTTTTTAAATAAACAGAAAAAATTATAATATTTGACGAACATTTAACGAAACAATATTTTTCTAAAAAAAACTTACAAAATAAATTATAATCAAACAAAAAAAAATGCATTAAAAAAAACAACAAGAAAAATTGATGAGTTTTTATGGCGCGCAATAACAAGCAAATAAAACAATGAAATTTAATAGTTAATAATAATTAAACGAAACTTAACGAAACAATTCAAAAATAGCATACTTTCAAATATAATAAAACTGTTTTAAAAAGAGTGTTATTTTTGTTCGAATTCTAGTATATTATTTGTGTTAATGATAATAATAATTTGATTATAATATGTGAGTTCCATAGAAACGAAAATTATATTAAAAAAAAATATTATTTAAATTAAAATTTTAAAATTATTCAAAAAAAATGTTCATTATTAAAATATTTACATATACTTGGTACCTACCTATATTAATACTTATTCTTATTGTATATAATATACTAAAAACATCATTGTACATACTTAATTACTTAATTATAATTACTGATCATCTTATAATAATTTTAAGATATAATCATAATTAAAGTGTATATATTTATTATTTATTTTTCTTAATAATGCAAAAACTATTTTTGCTATATATTAGAATATTTTAAAATTATAGTTGACGAATTCTAATAAAGAATTTCTAATTTAATTTTTAATATAATTATTGTTTATATGAATATTGTAATTAATATTTCGGTAAAGCAGGAAGTAAATTGTTCATTTCGAGATTTTAATCTTCTGGGTGATATTACATTCGAAATGTTTATTAGAAATTTCAGAAATTTAAAATAAAAAAAAATTTCTGAATGAAAAATTAAATTTATTTATTGAAATATAAATTTATTTTTACAAAATTCGCCACGGTAGACAACTTGTCGTGTCTGTTTAATATTCTTACAAAATGAATATTTAACGATTCTTAGAATTTTCATAGTATAGAATTAGAAATTCTTTATTTAATAATTTTTTCAATTAATTACATAATATATAATATTAATATAGTGCTCATTTTGAAATGAACTTGAATCTTTTTTGAAATCCTTACTTTTCTCATGTAATTTCATTCCACTTCTTTGACTAGTTAAACTATCATGTTCATTTAATTCAATTAAAGCATAATTATCATCAATTGAAATTGGTTGTTCTGTAGATTCAAATTTATTTATTTGTTGATTTTGTGCAGCACGTTCTAATACAGGCGTTTTCTTATAAGTTACTACTTTTCACGAAAAACAAAACAATATTGACAAAAACAACATATTTTACAAAAACAATCCAAGCATACAATACAATATTGCATTAATGACATGCCATTTAGATAAAAAGGAAATAATATAAAAAAACAAAAAAACATGTATGTAATTAAAATATTAAAAGCATATTATAAACGAAAAAATAAAATAAAAAGTCAAAATAAATTAAAAAAACAAAAAAAAAAAAAAATATTACCACTTCCTGAGGATCGTAAACCTTTTAAACGATGTTCAACAGTAAAAGGATTTGATGAAGAACATGAATCGTTACGCTGTAATCGTTGCCTCTTAAATACTTTTGACATACCAAAATAACGTAATAATCTATTTTCAGAACGTTCACTATTTAAGCTATTTAAGTCATCATTATGATTATTATTTTTATTAAAATTACGCTTTGAAAATATTTCACCAAATATTTTTTCAAAAAGATTTCCACCAATATTTCGTGGTGATGGTAAATTATAACCGCCTATTGTATTGTTAGTATTACTATTGTTATTTTGAGAACAACCATTATTATTTATAGTTGATTGTTGATCATTTTTATTACCTTTTCGGCTGATGACACCACCTATTGGTGATTTTGTTATACTTATTGTATCATCTTCATATTCTTCATCACTTGCTAATTCACATTGATTTACTAATGCAATTGTTGCTATTGATGATGATGTTGTTGGACTTGTTATTGTTGAAGTTCCAAAATTATTTTTTCCCTTACGTTGAAAATTTGTATTTGTGGCACTGTTATTTGAACGACAACGTGGCAACAATTCATTTGTTAAATTTATTGAACTATTGATGGCATCTAAATGTGAATTATTTGCAATGGAATTTTTTGTTCCAGCTGAAATTTGATTTACTGTTGTTTTTGGTGGTGGAGGTCTTGGTGGTATATTTCTTTTAGGTAATTTTGGTGGAATATCATTTGATACATTTGATATTGATGTTGGTGATGATAATGGTATTGATGATGTTGATATTAATGATTCTTTACGTAAATCTGATTCATTTTGTTCTTCGTAAATTTTAGTTGATATTGATTTACAAGGTGATGATGTAGCTAACGGTTTAATTTCATCAATTTCTATAGCTGTTGCTGTTGATTTAATTGGTGTTGTAGATGATGATATTTTATATGCTTGCTTAAGTTTTTCTGTTGTTTTTTTTGATGGTTTAATAACTGCCTTCATAAACTCTCGATTTGGTGTATCTGTTGGAATTGTATTATTTGGATTAACTCTAACTACAGTTTGTGTTGTTGTTTGTAATAGTGATTTTGAAGGACTTCTAATATTACGTGGAAGAGATTTTTGATCAAAATTTTCATTTGATTTTTTTTCATTTTTTTGTGATTTTATAATTAAAGTTTCTGTCAATTGACTATTAGATACTTGTTGAAGTGGTGGTGGTGGTGGTGGTGGAGGTTGTGGTGGTTGCAAAGTTGTTAATTTTATTGCCGTTGTAGTGCCAATTTTTTTGAATGGTGATGCAACATGAACTTTAGTAGTAGAATTTGTATTTGTTATAGTGCTTTCTACTGATGTAACAGAAGAGGATATTAATGCCGTAGAATGCTCTTTTTTAGATTCATTTTCTTCATTGTCATTGTTTGTATCATTTTTTGTTGTTAACATCATATCAGATATTTTAAATTTATCGATATCATCAGTTTGAATACCTACACTATTATTATTACATTCAATTTCAATTGAATCGGATGAAATTGGCAATGTTGACGACAATTGTGATTGTGTTGTCGGTGATTTTGTTTGTGTGCTTTTTATACAATTTTCATTTGATATATCTAAATTTTTTAATGATTTTTGTGTTACTATGGTTTTTTCTTTTAATGGTGTACTCGTTATTTTTTTACAATTACTTGGTGGCACAGATTTATTAAGAGATGCTCTAACAATATTACAATTTTGTTCATCTATATTATTATCACTTGTAGTGGTTGCATTCATAGTTGTTGTTATTTTATTCGTTTGATTACTAAATGATAATGATCTTTTATGTTGAATATTACGATTGGCACATAAAGTTTTCTTTGTATCATTTTTAACATGCACCATTACGCCTGGTCTTAATGGCCACTTAGGAGGACTTTTTGGTACCTCAGATGTAATCTGTAACGACGATGATGTGGGCAAAGGCGTCGAGGCTTGATATGACAGCACACTTTTATACAATTTTTAGTATTCATTTTTCATATTTAATTGCAGTTATAATGTTGCAGGTTAATTGAAGATTATATTTTTGTGTATATATACATATATATATATATATATGGAAGTTAGTTGAATTTTTTAGTTTGAACAAAACACAACACAATAGCAGTTAAAAACATAAAGAGAAAAAAAAAAAAAAAAAAAACAAAAACAAAGTTAATTAAAAAAAATTAAAAAAAATGAATAAATAAATAAGCATATCACATACACATATAAACATTCATATATTAATTAAACCTAAAAGTAAAATACATTCAAACAATTATTATTTTTGTTTTAGTACTTTTTTGTTTTTTGAAGTAGTGCAAATTGTGCTAAAAATTTTAAATGTTTATTCATGCAAAAAAAAATGAGTTATTGTAGTGATGTGCATGAAAAATTTTAATGTTTACCTACATTTTGTTATCAAAACAAGAACTTGGAGCCAAGTATCAACTGAGAAGAATCATCAAAAATTAATTTGCATAATTATAGGGGATTTCTGGCGAAATTGATTGTTTGGAATTAAATTTTATTCAAAAAATACTAATATTTTTTTATTATAAAATCTAAGCTTCTAATTTTAAATTTATTTGAAGTTTTACGTCCAGTTGGACAATAAACAAAGGTTGTTTTTTAAAAATTTATTAACATAATTTTGTAGCATTTTTAAAACACTGAATTTTACTTTTTTTTCTTAGAAAAGAATTTTTAATAAAATCGCAATACAAATGAGGTTATTTGAATTTTATGACTGGCCTCCAAAAAAAAATTTTCCCATAAGTATTCTTTTATTTTCTAAAATTTTTAGAAATGTCGACCTAAAATTTATTTTTTTGTGTTACCCGCAATATCTTCTTTGTATCTTTTTAATTCATTAAAAATGCGGAAAAAAAGAAATTGTCTTAATTTGGAATTCAAGGACATTCAAAAAATAGCATCAGTGCTATACAAAATTATATTTTGTTTTTTAAGAAATCATTTGATATTTAGGAATTTTATATTTCTTGGAAGGAAATTTAAAATAAATATAAAAATATTCATTGTCTAGAATTTATTTATTATATTTACATATATACAGGGTGTTCCGAATTAGTTGGCAAATAATTTCAGGAATGATTCTTTGATCAATTTCCATCAAAAAATTGAATGGAGAGGGGTGGGGGCTGCAGATATACTCGTTTTCGAGCTACCCGATATAATTTACATATGTAAGTATTGAATAATAAAATTATATTAAAAGTAATGAAGTAGTGCTATTTTATTTTACCTTAAGGATAATGGAAAATTATTTATAGTAATTAAAAAAATAATAATAATTGATAATTTAATTGAATTTCAATCCAATGAAAATTTCAATTTTTAAAAATATACGGTATTATTATTTAAATATCCTGGTAGAAATTAAAACAACTTTGAAATTTTGAATTTATCTTATACACATTTATCTATATCACATACATATATGTAATGTATACTTTTGAAATTTGTGTGAGTTTATTAGGAAATCCATGGAATATCATTATATACGTATATGTACATATGTATGTTTTCTCAATAATAATTATTTTCAAAATTCTTTCAAATCAATTGAGTGACAAAATTTTTCAAAATATTTGAAAAATTTGAGCTATTATAGAACTTGAATTATTTCTGTAAAATTTAAAAAATTCTGGGGTAGAAATTTAATTTTGAAGTTAAACAAGAAAATTGGAAATATGTAAAATATATATACTACTATCGTACCTCATTTATACATACATATATGTGTATATATACATATGTGCATATAATCATTTTCATTTATTCACAAATTCAATTCAAAATTGAATTATAACAAAATTTTAACTTTAAAATTTCAATGTTTGTAAATAAAAAGGAGAATATGAATTTAGTTAACGTGGCTGACTGTCAGGTTTATGAAGACAGAATTTTTCAGATAAATATTGTAGTGTGGTGTTTTTTAAAATTGATATTCTGATTTTATAAAATTTTATTTTTAAAAACTTCAGCTCAAATGAACATACAAATATTTGTTTAATTTTTTAATTGATTTGCTGGGGAAAATTACCAAGAGGCTTGGAATCACTGCAAATGATGTCTATCGGTCTATCTATTTCGATATTCCGGTGGTGGAGGAACATGTTCATTGTGCTTGTTCGTTTCTAATATTAGAAAGGAAGCGCATCTTGGAGGATAATCTTAATAATAATCTAGAGGACTTGCCGGCGGAATCCTTGCCGGAGCTTTTATGACTCACCAAGGTTTGTTTTTCTTAATTATAATTTGAACGGGAACAACGAAATTTATAAAATTTTCAAGCACCTTTTACATAATTATTTATTCAATTAACCTAAAGTCTCACATAGAAACTATTTCAAATTAAATTTCAAATTTGTAATATTTTTCCTTAAAAAAGTTTTATATGAGTATGACATACAAAAACAAAATAATATAGATATGTATATGTATGTTCATAGCAGAAAGTTATACATAGAATTGAAAACAAAAAAAAAAAAAACAAGAAACTGTTCAATTTGAATAAAATATTTTTCTTTATTTACTCTCTCCGCTCTCTATTATTTACTTTATTGTTTTTTTTTCCTTGAATTTCAATTACTTATATACACATACAGAAAACAATATTATAATAGAAAATTATATTATTAAATTATTCATAAATTTCTAACAAAAATATTTCAAGTTATAAGAATTTTTGGTTATATAACAAAAACAAAAAAAAATTTCATAAATTAATTCAACAAAAATACTACAATATCAATTTTTCAATTTATATATACTGAAAATTCAATGAAATTCAAAAAAAATTGTATTATATACGAGTATATTATTTATCAATTGAAAATTATTGTATAGGTTTAGTTATATAATGGTGATTATTATAATAAAAAAATTGAACATTTTCGTACGTACGCATATTTATACAAAATATAAGGTTGAAATATGTATTTATTGAATTCTGATATAAAATTTAACAAAAACCAGTGAAAATAATGACATTCAAAATAAAATATAATATTTTTATGTATTATATAATAATAAATAAAATTTTGAAAAACAATTATATTGGTATATACATATTCAGCCCCCCTCCAATATTATTTGAATTTTTATCGTGATTTTTTCAATAGAAATCTTATAAATTTTATAAACAATGTGTTCTCGAAACAATTATTGTATTTTATAGGTTATTCCAAAAAAAAAAAAAATTAATAATGAAATTTTAAAATAATTGATATGATGACATTGTTATGTCAACATCATAATATTTAGAAATAAAATTTCAAATTAAATTTTTAAATTATTAAGATATTTAAGTATAATGACAATTTTATTATATAATAATAATAAATTATTATTTGAAACGTGACATAGGGTTGTTCATAGTATAGAATTATTTTTGAATAGAATAGAATAAATATAATTGAATTTAAAATTAGGAATGGTATTATTTAAAATATTATGATTTTTATTAGAAATAAAAATTATTAGGTGTAATAGTATTATGAATAATTAAATATTGAGATTTTCTTTTCATATTTTATTAAATAATTGAACCATTATTTAAGTAATTAAATATTTTAACGAATTTTCTAAATAATTGTTATAATTTATGTATAAATGTTAATAATTAATTTAGAAATTGTATATAACTATATTAAATGCTTATTATTAATAACTTTATTAAATTCTTATGAAGATATTGCGATTTTGTTTTAAAATTAAAATTCTTACACTCTATACCCTTATGAATACTTAATATTATACTCATGAGAATATTCTAGTATTGTAATTTAACTCAGTTTTATATTTACAAGAAATGAGTGAATATGAGACAAAATGTAGTAAACATTGTTTTGAGTATTGATTTTTAAAAGTATAAGTGCAAAATTTATATAGCTGCGTTCTTTTCATAATTATTATTTTTTATGCTGGATGAACACAACTTCTAATTGTACTAAATTAATATTCTCATGTAAATGGGAATAAATGTATTAATTAATGTTCCCATTGTACTAATGTATTAAATAAGTTCTTTTAATATTTGATCAGTCTGTTTGATTGTTTTTTTTTTTGTTTGTTTGTTTGAGAATTTAATTAAAAGAGAGGATAATAATTATATTACTTAATATGAAAAGAATTCAGCTAATTTTAAATGTTTTAGAATTGAGTGAAAACAATAAAGGGTGTTTTGCTAGTACGTATATGAAAAAAAAAAATTTTTAATTTTTGTGATTTTCACTTAAAAATCCATTTGTAACAAAAATAAAAATTTGCTAAAAGCGCGCTTTGTCTTTTCAATGAAATTACAAAATTCACCAATGAAAAAAAAAAATTATGAAAAAAAAATTAAAAAATTAAAAAATAAAATCAAACATAAAAATCAATATTAAAAAATAAAAAGAAGAAGAAAAAAAAAGAGAAAAAAAAAACTAAGTATTGTGAAAAAAATTTTGTTTTTTTTTTTTTCTGATTTTAATGAATGAAAAAAATCTTCTTACCTTTGTGTAGCGCAAATTGAAGCTTCGGCCGTATTGTCTTTTTTTTTTTTAAATTAGTTTGAATTTTAAATGTTTTAAATTTTAAAATTTTTTTTTTGTTAAATTGTAAAATTTATGAGAAAAGAAGAAAAAAACACAAATTGCATTCAGATTGCGTTAATTAAAAAAAAAAAATAAAATTAAAAAGAAAAAATATTAAGTTTTTTTTTTTTGTTGTGATCAATGCAAAAAGAAATTAATTTGAATTTAAAAAGAGAAAAATTCGTAATGTCAAATTTATTTTTTGAGTATAATTACAAATTGTCAATAAAATATTCATTTAATTGTGTTAAAAATGTTGAGTTAAAAATTGATGAGTTAAAATGTTGTTTTATATTGAATGAGTGTTTTGTTTGTTGTTGTTTGTTGTGTGTTTTATTCATAAAAGCAAATTTTGTATTTTTTTTTAATTAAAAATTAATTATTTATTTTTTTTATTTTATATTAGTATCGTAATATTATTAGTTTTTTTTTGCATTTTATAAAATTTTATACGAAAAAAAATCATATTTTGCCAATTATTCGAATTATAGTCGATTTTGTTTTGATGTTTTTGATTGTTGTTAAAGTTGTTGTTGTAGTGATGATTTTATGGTTTTGTAGTGATGATTGCATTTCATTAATTTTATTCGCAATATTGTGATAATTCATTTTTTAAATATAAAAATTATATGTTTTTCGTTTTGTGTGTTTTTTGAATATTATTTTTTTTATAAATTAATCAAAATTATTTTTGTTATAAGTAATAAGCAAAAAAAAAAAATATTATTAAATTTCACACCAATATGAAAAAAAAACAAAGTTTTGTTTTTAATTTTTTTTTTAAGAAAATTAATTATTTGATAATTAATTTATTTTTTATTTTATTTGCACGATAAAAAAAAAAACAAGCCAGTGTTTAATATTTTATTAGAAAAAAAAAAATAATAATATAGTAGATGTAAAATTTCAGGCGCAATTTTAAGCAAGCAGTAAATTCACATAAAAATGCAGAAAAATGAAAGAAAAAAAAGGATATATATGTATATATAGTTATGTATGTATATTAAATATAAAAAAATTAAAAATAAAAACTAATTTCAGAAAATATTTTAAAAATATATAGATAGTATGAGTATATTATATAATAAATAGTATTAATTTTTTTTTAAAATAGATATTTTTTGATTGATTCAATTTTTTTGACTTAATTTTGAATAGAAATATTAATAAGTGAATTTTTGTTTTCAATTTGAATTTTTAATTTAAAAATTTCCAATAAATTAAACTAATGCCACATATGTATATCTGACAGTCCACCAAGCTAAAGTTATTTTCCGAAATATTGCGAACAATTCTTAAAATAATAAATATTTCGACTTAAATGATTTTTTTATTTATTTTTTGTTAAATTTTTGAATATTCTTTATGACTCTTATTTTATTTACCATGTTTGCTTTTGCGATCTAAATCATAATTCAATTTCTTACTTAAAAATTTTTTCTTAACAGTGAGCGACGACGGCGAACCATTTTCGCTGATAATCCAGAACAAAAGCGGAATGAAAAAATCAAAACAAAAAGAAAAAGTGGTAGGTGGTGGTAATTTCGCTTCATTCTTGATTATAAATATGTGTATTCTATTTAAATTTTGATATTCCGCAGCGGAAAATCGCTCTTGTTCTGTTTTCAATTTAATTCAGTTCATATAATTCAGTGTACCGGATATAAATTTGGAATTTATTTTTGATTAACTCTCTGATCTTGATGGACCGGTAGATATATGCGATATATTAAATTAAATTTGAAATGAGTTAAAACGATTTTTGTAAGTTATGCTTAATGCAAATTTTAGTACGCGAAATCCACAAATTTAATTGAGGTATTATGGAAATAATTGTTTGTCAAAATAAGTGTCGAATGCAGAACGCTCTCAGAAATTAAAGTTTTTATTAAAATTCCCTTTAAAAAAAAATACAAATTTGCAATCTCCAATTCAAAAAATAAAATTTTATAGTTTTTAGAAATTGGAGTTGAAGAAAATTCAGGAATTCAAATCAGAATGAAGTCGTCAAATATATATTGAAATAAAAATTAACATTTTGGAAAAACTGGAATTAAGGGAGCTAATTTTTTTCACTTATTAATATTTCTATATCAAACAAAAAAATATTAGAAAAAGATAGCGTTGATTAAGAATTTTATTTTATGTATATATTAGCAAAAATATTGAGAATATTTAAAAAATAAAAATAAGAAATCTTTTAATAAAAATTTCCCAATAAAATTTAATTATTATATTGAGTTCCTTTTTGTTGCAAATAAAATTTATTATTGTTAAAATGAGCATAAATGGCATACAGAATGTAAGTTAAATATAAAATAAGTGTAAAATAATGGGCACATTATGTTTCAAATAAAAATAACAAAAAAAAAAAATAAAATGAAAAATACGTTGTATATAATTATGTATGTGTAAAGTCTTGTTATAAATTTCCTCTATTTTTTTAAATTTTGTTAAATAAATTATGAAATAAATCAACATGAAATTCAAAATAAATAAAATAAAATGAAAATAAGCGAAAAATACAAAATTAACAAAAATAAAAATTTCTTTTTAGTATAAAATTTTTTAATTGCAAATAACAATTTTTAAAAGATTCAAATTAAAAAATTAAACTAAGAATTATTGTTAAAATTTGTTTCGTTGTAAATTTGAATTTTATTTTAAGTTTATCTCTATAATAAGTATATACGGTCTACATAATATTCGTAGCTTTATGAAAATGAATTTGTAATCATTTTTTTTGTTAATGAAAAAATTAAATAAATATTTTAAAAGTTTTTATTCGTGAATAATTTTATTTTGAAAATAGATTATATAAATTGAACTTTTAAAAATCATAATCCTTTTTCTGTTTTTTTTTTTTTTTTGAATTTTTGTGCAAAATCAGAAATCAGAATATTTGTTTTTATTCAATAAAGAAAAATAGGGCCGCAGCCGAAATAAACATTGTGTATATTTTTTATAAATATATGCTATTTTTAATTAATATATACATTTTAATGAATTATAAGTGAAAATAAAAATTTATTAAAATGAAATTTGAAAATTCAAAAAAAAAAATTTAATCAAATAAAACAATAATTTAATTAAAAACAAAAGTGGAAAAAAAAAATTCATAATAATTATTTTTATATATCATTTATTATTATAAAAATATTTTAAATAAAAATATTATATAGACATGGTTTATATATATATATATATAAATGTATATGTATTTAAATATTTTAAAATAATTTTTGTACTCACATTTATCTTGCCTTCTTCGCCTTCTGCATATACAAATAATTATACAACAAATTATAATAACTGCTAATAATATGGCACTAACTGCTGCTATAACAATAATTAATGTTGTTCTATCCCATCTTTGCCACCATGCTAATTGTCCTATTTTTTTTTTATTTAAATATTATTATTATCATTATTATTTTTTTAAATATAATATTAAAAAATTATTATAAATTTAAAAATATTTTTTTTTTTAAATTTAATTTTAATAAAATTTTATTTGTTTGTGTATTTTGTAAATGTTTTACGAGTATGTGAACAATTTTTAAAAATAAAAATTTTTTTTTTGCCATAAAATTAGGGAGTTAATTTTAAGTACAGAAATGAATCGTGAAATATATGGTGTGTTAATTAATTAATTAATAATAATATTGCTAATAATAATTATTAGTGTGATAATGAAAAAAACCTGAAGAAAAAAAATTCTAAATGAGAATATGAAAAAGTTAATAATTAAAATTTCTGTATTTACGAGTAAATATGTAATTTTTATGCATTCCAGGAAATTGTAATCGGGTATAATAAGATCATTTTTATGGGAAGTAATTTAATCAATTCTTTTAATTCTACATAAATAATTGGTATAAGTTTAATGCAAAATCAAATTATTATGGTAGATATAAATTAAATCACAGAGCAAAATATAATATAAAGGATATTTGAAATTCACCATTAATTCAGAAGCAGGCTTCTCAGACTTAGTAATTTTTTAGCCTATAAAAATCTTTTCCTCATTTCAAGACTTATAAAAATCTCTCTCTTTATATCCCATTTAACTCAATATTACCGAAATTCAAGGTTTTTTTTTACTTTACGAAAAATTTAAATGTAAAATTAAATTTTATAAAATTCTGAAAAATTTTCTATAACAAATTTTCTTTTAACTATCATTTTCCTTCTATAAATACACTGAATTGGGAATTAATTTTTAAAAGGCTTAATTAAAATATTAAGAGAAGATGGATGGAAGTAAAATTTTAGTGGGATCGATTTAAATGTTGAAGGATCATATAAAATTTATTCTTACAAAAAATTCAATTTTACAAGAAAACTTTGTTGAATAATTCGCAAAACAGAATTAATTTGAATGAATTTTTGGATTGAAAATAAATAGTAAAGTCTAAATGTTAAGAAGTAAGAACAAAAAGTTTCTTGAATTATTATAAATTTATAAAGACTAAGATCATTATAATTTAACAGGAATATTTAAGGCTTTAAATCACAAAAATTCTGTTGGAATTTGTGAATTTTGCAAGACTGGCCGAATATAGACTAGTCGTATTACATGTGAACATCACATTTTATTGAAAATGCGAATATACTTGTAACATGTTATACTAAATTTTATCCTATCCGATTTCCTTCTTAATCGAATTACTCTTAATACTACTTTATCTCCTGTTTGTTATTTTTAGAAACATTGTACTTTATTTAAAGCTTAAAATTATAATTTTTTTTTTTTTACAATATAACTATAATATGAGCACAAGTAAATATTAGCCGAAAGAAAGGGATAGATAAAATAAAATAAAAATCTCATTAAAATGCAATCATATTTTGTAAAAAGCAGTCATGGCGATCAGATTTTTTTTATTTTTTTTTTATATAAAATTTAAGGGAAAAATTTGAATACCAAAGCGAAAATAACAAGAACAAAATATTTTTTTTTTCCAGTAAATCCTGCTTTTACTGAATCAATTATTTTTGTTTTTGTTTATTCGCTTCATGTTATTATCCTTTTTTTTTATATCCTTAATACTTCTTTCAAAGAATAGTTAGTTTCCCATAAAATTGCTTAATAAAAAAATAAATGGGAGGTAGCTGGATGAGGGAAAAAAAAATCTTTTTCCAAATTTTTAAATTTATTTTTTTTTTGTTTTTTTAAATCTACTTAAAAAAATTTTTTTTCTATAATGTTTTAGAAATACCGAGCTGATGAAGTTGGATATTTTTATAAACCGCAAAATTTTTGAGAAAAAAAAAAATAAATTTTATTTTTTAAATTTATTTACAGAGAGCGCGCATACACACAGAAGTGAATTAAAGTTTATTTAATAGTTTTTTTTTTTTCTTCTTCTTCTAAAAAATTCCATAAAAGGTTAAACACAAGAAATAAGAGAACGTTGTTTTTTAGTTTCCTTTCAAAAATGTCTTCTAAATTGGCATGAAAATTGTTGTTTAGTTTATTAAAATGGTTTTTCTAAGAATTTTTTTTTTTTAAATTGAATTTGAATTAATTTTTATTTTTCACTTATTTATTATTATTTTTTGTTGAAAATTTAATCCTTCTATTTTTTCTTCAAGAATTTTAAAATATTAAATTTATTTTGCTTATAATTTCCTTTTGCAATATTGAGGCGAAAAGTTAGCAATATAATTGACGAAGAAAATAAATTGTTTTTTTTTAAAATAATTTTAAAAAATTAAATTGAATGCAAATACTGGTGGCCTTCACAATTAACAGTTCGAAAGTATGTGAGCGATTTAATAAGATAAGCACATTATTTGTAGGCGAATATTTGAAAAATAATGTAATAAGTAGCAAAAAATACATAGAGAAAGTTTGAGATTTAAAAAAAAATTCAATGCCGAATCAAGTTCTCCTTACATTGTGTCAACTTCAGGGTTCAGGATGGTATACAATATGTATGTAAATCAATCGTCAATCAATTTAATCCTTTAATTTAATTTGGTTGAGTATTGTTGATTAATTTATTGTTGCATACGTAAATTTATTGATACATTTGAGAAAGGAGCAAATATTCAATGCAGAGTTGAAATTTTAGGTTGTTTGTTCAATAAACGAATTATTTAAGATGTTTAGAAATTTTAAATTTTAAAAGCATAAACCCTTAAATCATAATAAGAGTTTGGTAATTACTCGTATGTAATTTTTATTATTATAGATCCATAGATTTCGGTAAAATTTCGAATTAATCTGGAAAAAATCATTAAAATTTAATTAGTTAAAAATTGGGCTTAATGAACGATCGTTTAACCAACAATATACAATATAAAATTGATATTTAAAAAATAATTAACAAAAAAAAAAAAATCAATTAATTTTTAGCTTTTTTTCAAAATTAAGTTTTTTTCGTTTTGTATATATATATAAATACCGTGTACTATAAAAGTATAGGGTGTTAAAATGGAAGCAAAAAAAATTTTTGTTTAAAACTTTTTGATATTTCATTTATAGTTTTCGCGTTTGTGGGAAATTTTTGTTAAGATTAGATTGAAAGGCAGGAACTGAAAAAGACGACGAAAAAAAAAAAAAATTAGTAAAAAGAAATTAATATTTAAATTCTAGAAAAGTCCTTTTTATTTCCATTTTTTTTTCAACACTTTTCTTTTTTTGTATCCACTTTGTATTCTTAACGCCATTATCGGGAGTTTTATTTGGTTCAATGATTTTTAAATGAAATGAATTGGAAATAAGAAGAAATAGAGGAAGAAGTAAAACTTCATTTTGAATAGATTTAAAATTATAATATGAAGATGAAATCTATAAATACATACATACATATATATTCACGTATATTTAATGTATATTCTTATAATATGTATGTGTTTGTATACATGTGCTTATATAAATTGGAGAAAAACTATTAAAATTTAACTTTTCCAACTTCATTTTTGTTTTTTTTTAAATAGTAGAGATATAAAAGTTTATATAGTGATAACTGCTTATATAGGAAATAAAATTATTCATTCACGGAGAGAAACAAGAAATAAAATCGGAAAGAATTAAAAAAAAAACGAGGCAACAAAAAAGGAAAAATAAAAATGGTTTGCAAATAATTTTTTTTTTTTTTTAAATGAAAATTAGTGAAGATATCCAATTTAAATGGCACAAAAAAAAAATGACTAAATGAAAATGAAATAAAATCAAAATGAATGAAGCTAAAATGCAGCTAAAATAGTGAAAAAAAAAAATAAGAGAGAGAGAAAAAAAAACAAAAACTCTTGTTAAAATGTTAATCAAGATGACTACAGTGTATTTGAATAACACACTTTATCTTTCATCTACTTTGTATCTTCGAGTGAGTGAGTGAGTGAGTATTAAAATGAGTGAGTATATTAAAATGAATTATTAATAATAAAGAGAAGCTATACTTACTTTTAGGCCGCACTTTTGTGTTTTTATTTTATTTTACGGTATTAGTTTTTTTGGTTTTAGTTTTTGGTTTTGTTTTTGTTTTTGAATTATATGTTTTGTGTGTTAAGCAATGAATTGTTGGTTTGAGAATTTTGTTAGATAGCGTATTTTTTTTTTTTTTTAATTGTTTAATTAAATAGAATTTTTTTTGTTGTAAATGAAAATAAGAAAAAAAAACACAAATTTTATTATTAATATTTTAATGTTAGTTTTTAATTAATGAAAGAAAAAATATTAAAATTTATTGTTATTATAGAAATTTCATTCATAAAAGCAAAAGTGTAATATTAGTTTGCAATTAAAATTTGATTGAAGAAAAAAAAATCAATAATTTTCATGTACACGTTTTTTCTTTTTAAATATTTTTACAATTAAATTTCATATATTAAAAAATTCTTAGCCAGATACTTCAAAATAATTTGGACTGGCTAATTTTAATTCAAATGGTTCCATGAGACCTACGAAGTTTGCTGTTACGGCTTTCAAAAAGGGTTCCATAGTAAATTTTCCTTTTCGAATTTATTACTCTGTTTGGGGTTTACACAAAAACCACATGATGCCTGGATTTCTACATTATTATAAAAATTTATTTAAAAGGCCATAATTTTTTGAATTTGGGACTTACATCATTTTGAAAGTAGACTATTACTTCCAAAAAAACGTACGAGGAAAAGCTGCAAAGCATGAAGTGATCATTCATACATCAATTATGTGCAAAATGGAACAGGAGAAGGAATATTTCTTTTGCCAGTTAGCCAGTTTTCTTGGATCGATCGTTTGTTTTTGTTTCTAAATTTGAGGAATAACTTTTACACATTTTCAAAAATTCTATAATGAATGGATGCATGATGAGCATATTCGCACATAAATGTTCATTTGAAATATGTGCACTCATTTTTATTAATATTTTCAATCATTTATTTTGTTTTTTATTAAATTGACTCGAAAATATTTGTGAATACTCTGACTTTAAAGAATGAGTTTTTTTATATATTTTAGCCAATTTACATTAAGTTAGGTAAAGTTACCCGAATTTTTGTACGTACATCAAAATGTTGTTTACAATATATGGTAGATTATTTGAATTTATTTACCATTTTTTAAATTTTTTTATTCAGAAAAGCTCGTAAGCCTTAGCGAAGAAATTATTTTCTCTTAACTGTGCTTTACTAAATAGATTATTATTTATAGAGAATAATAGGATTGAGAAAAATAAATTATGATTTAACTAATAAATTATTCATTATTTATATATATAGAAGCCATAATCCAATATTTTTTTTTGAATTATTTAAATTTTGATAGCCATAAAATATTCTTTGTTTTTAAAGTAAATTATTTTCCGTAAAAGTTTGACAATACTGAATAATTTAGGAATAAATGGCAATATGTTAGTTCGCTATGGAAATTTCTAATTTTGGTTTACATAATTAAATGGAATAAAATGTAAAATTAAGAAATGACGTAAAATTATTTATGACGGCTAAATTTATTTAAAATCGCGGGAGCCTATTATACGTATAACTATATTCGGTGAAATTCAGTGTTGAAAATTGAATTGTTTCTGAGATACAGCGAGTTCATTTGTGAGAAATTTATGATGCGGCTGTCATGTATGTTTTTGAAATAAAGGCGATTAATTAGTAAGGTTATGTGATAGCTACTTGAACCACTTAATTTCGATCGAATTCAAGTTAAATAAATTTTGGAATTTAATATTAAAAATTATTTGTTCTATCATGGTAATTCATAGATTTATCCTAATATTTTTAATTTTTTAAATTTTTAATATTTTTTTGAATATTCTAAATATACTTTTAATTGTCATTTAATTTTGCTTAATATTAATAAAGAGCGTTAGATATTTCTGCGAAATTCTGTTTCACAATTTTTGTGGAATTAATTTAATTAGCAGTCTATAAACTATATAAATACAAAATTTTTATTTTATTCCGATTTAGTATGAAATTTTAGCAGGAATTTTTTTTCATTAAAAATTTTACTGCTAAAAATACAACTAATTTTCTAGAATTTTGTTATTAACTTTGCCACAGAGCTATTAACCTTGCCATATGAGTTTATTAAATATTATTCCTACAAATAGTAATATAAAAATTCTCCGGAATTTGAAACTAGTATACATGGTGTAAATTATTGATTTTTTTTTTTAAGAGAAAAAAAAATTATATTTCGCCAAATTAAAAATATTTTTTTCCATTATTTTAATAAAATTTACCTGCAACTTCAATTTCACACATATGACCTTCACCAATTGTATTGTTAGCAACACAACGATATGTTCGCGTAATTGTAAAATCATCATTTAGTACTAAAAAGGCTTTATCACCATCAATTGAACCAGAACTAACTTCAACAGAATCATTTTCAGTTTTAATAGACCACACGAAACCAAACTGTTTATAAGAAAAAAAATTTTAATTTAATTTTAATTAAATGCAAAAAAAATTAAACGTAAAAGCCATCATAAATATTTGGAATTTTTCTCACCTCATCAGGATTACCATAGGCTGTACATATTAATGTATCTTGATCATCAATCATTTTTCTATCGATATCACAATGTGGTTTATCTAGAATAAAAATAGCAAAAATTGTAATAATTCATTTTAGTATTTGAAAAACACCTAAGCTTACATTGAACGTTAACAAAGGTTGTTGCTTCACTTGATCCATGTTTATTAAATGCAATACATTTGTAATGACCACTTTCATTTCTTAACATTGGTTTATTAATTATTAGAGCGTTACCTTGAGCTAAACTTTTCTCTTCTAATGTCCATTCATAAGATGGCTCTGTACGTGAAAAGAAGCAATTATGTTTTAATGAAAAATTCAACTTTTTCCTAAAGATTTTGTTTTTCTTACCTGGATTCGCTTTTGAATTACAAAGAACACGTGCTGGAATTGTATTTTCAGTCACATTCACAATTTCATTCGAAACAGTTGTATTTTCTGGTGGGTCTACAAAAAAAAAACATAAATTTTAATAAAATTTCTTAATTTTAAATTTTAATTTTAAAATTATTTACATTCTATACTAAAATATGTAGCACTACGAACTCCAGCTCCAACTTCATTTTCAGAGGCAACACATGAATAATTTGCATTATCATAATGCATATCAAATTGTTGATTTGGCCATGCTGACATATTGAAATGCTATGATAAGAAAGAATTAAAATTTGGTTTAAATCCCGAATAAACTGAATTTTCATAAATCCAAAAATTAAAAAATTTATTTCAATTAAACTCACCAATATAGATAAAACACTTTCAAAATCTCCTGTAGCAGGATTTTCTTTTAAATATTCTTCATATATATGATATTTACTTGTATCGTTGGCATATATACCGACACCATCTTTAAACCAATTGATTTTACAACGTGGAACACATTCAACGCGACATGTTAATGAAGCATTTTTTGTTGAAAATAATACACCAGTATATGGTAATAAATTTTTAATGAAAAATGGTGGTGCTTTTACATCTAATGTTACTGTTGCCTGTTCACCTTTACCACCATCATTATATGCTAGACATGAGAAATTTGTACGACTATCTAAATCAACTAATTCTATAGTCCAATCCTTTTTGTAAACATCAATAAGTGGTCCTTGTCCACCACGGAACCATCGATATCTGCATTGAGAATTTTTGTTTTTTTTTTTTTGTTTTTAATAAAATTTTAATTTTTCATTTTTAGTTTTGTTTAAAAACTAAAATGAAAATAATTTATTTAACCCTGTAATTCCTCAAAATTTCGAAAGTTGCTTATGCGCCTTGGAACAGTTGAAAATAATTTTAAATTAATAAAATTTCTGTGGAAAATTTCGCTCAAAATAATAGAAAATTACGTAAAAATTCAGAACAAATTGAAAAAGTTCAGCAAAAGCAACGTGTGTCAATTCTATAATGTCAATTCTATCAGAGTAGTGAAAGCCTTCTCTCCTCACAATTTATTTTCTATGTACATTTAAGCAAGAAAGAAATTTAATGGAAGCTTGATTATACAAGTCCTCTTTTCTAGTTATTCTTTACTATTTAAAACTTTTGCTATATCATTAAAAATTTATAAAAACTTTTGCTATATCATCTTCCTCTTTGACAAATTAAATACAGGGTTAAATATTAAAATGAAATATCGAGATCACTAATGTTCAACAACTGCTATGATAATACAAAACAAAAAAAAAACTATCTTACTGTGTTGCTTCCGGTACACCTAGGACGTCAACTGTACATGAAAATGTTACACTTTGTTTTTTAACAACTGTTAATGGATAATATGTTAGTCTTGCTGGTCCTGGTTCATGAAAAACCTTCAAATAATAAAAATAATGAATAAAGTGAAATAGAAAAAATAAGAATAAAATAAAATAAACAACGGATTAGGAAAAATTTTTTAAAAAATTAAATGGAAAAATTTTATATTGAAAATACAAAAATTTTCAAATACACTTACAACTAATTCTACTTCTTGACTTCGATTACCCCAGCCGGCGGTATTAAAACCTTCACAAGAATAATTATAGGCAAATCCTCGACCAACACTTTCTAAAAGCAATTTACTAGGATCAATGTTACACAAATCCTCCTGCAAAAAAAATAAACAATACAAAAATTAAAATATAAATATAAAAGGAAAAACAGAAAACAAAAAAAAAAACAATAAATATAAAAAAAAGAGAGAAAGAAAAACAACGTAAAAACAACGTAAATATTGAAAAGGCATTAAATCAGCATGTCAATAAATGAAAAAAGGACCTGCAGCACAACACTTACAAACTTTCAATACATTATTTTGTAAATTGTGACATTATTGGTGATGTTTTTAGATTTGCATTTTAGTATATGAATATTATATAAGCAGTGTACATAATAAGTTAAACATAATAAAAGTATAATTCAAGAGATCTTTCAATAATGCAGCAAGGATAAATTTAAAAATATTTGAAGAATAACATTTTAAATTTTAACAAAAAAAATGACATATTTAAGTAGTAGGTCTTATGGCAAGCACTGTGAGTATCTTGATACGAAATTGATATAGAGCGAATCAGAATGAGAAATGTGCTCTGTAGGATTCTATAGGGAGAGATTTATCAGGCAGAGACAAAGTTGTTGAAATGTTTTCTTGCAAATGAACCTTCTACTAACTCTGGATTCCGTTTTCAGTCACCTGGGCTACAGTCTTTTATATTAATAAAAATTTTTAGGAAAAACTAAAAAATTTGTTGCAAATTAGCTTGTGAGCTGGCCAAGTAAGCTCTTCAAATTTCAAGAAACCATTGATTTTGATAAGAGAATTAAGTTGATGTGCTCGTCAGATACTGTTTAGCTGCGATGGAAAAAGTGGAAATTTATCTCTGACGACTTTGTTTTGAAGAGGAACAGACAGCGGAGTTGCAATAGCGTTAATTTAAATCAGTTGAATATTTAAGGTTGAGTATACCATAGAGTATTTAGTCGTCCTTAAGGGAGCTTTATTGAGTATACTAAAAAGTACTTTGTTAATTGCAATTTTAAGTAAGATTTTTTATTTTTTAAAGAACATACGGGGAAATTCATTCACTAGTATAACACTTAAAATATTCAACACAAAATGAGAGTAGTAAATTTAATTTTTAACTAAAATAAATTTTAAAAATTACAACAAAATACTTTGTAATTCAATATTGAATAACTCTTTACATTTATTTTGTATTACTTGTCAAGTTGTTGATGTTATTACTGTATTGAACTATTTTACTTTTTGTTTTTTGTATGTATGGACTTGTGTAATATTGTACATTAAGTATAAATTAAAAACATCAACTTGGGTAAATGGAGAAAGAAAATGGAAAAAAATAATGCATCAAGGAGAAAATAAACAAAAACAAAAAAAAAAGAAAGGATTTCAAGGAAACGATAACATTTTGCTGCATCTTCTTGCCTTAAAAAAATAGCAACAATAAGAAAAAAATAACAAAAAAAAAAACAAAATCTAGGACAATAGGAAGAAAAATTTATTTTTGTTTTCCCATTGTATAAAATAAATATTTTTATACATACTTTATAAACTCTTATATTGTAGAGTACAAAGTTGTTGTTTTTTTTGTTGTTAAAAAAAAAATGGGAAAATAAAAGAAAAATTACTTTTGTTTTTTTCGAAATCATTAAAAAATCAACAACACAATTCAACAATTTTAAATTAAAAGAGCATTAAATTACAAATAGGTTTGCAATCAATTTTAAATTTGATTGTGTGATTTTAATCTTTTATGCATACGCATAAAATGATAATATAAAAATATAATTGCATATAAATGATATTATATGTATAAGTATGTATGTATAATTAGTAATAGTATAAGTTTCTTATATTCTTTTACTTTTGTATATAAATTAACAATATTGTAAACAACCCCATACATATATAGAATGCTCACATAAAGTCGACATTCTTCTCTATACGCACACACAATATTGATCTTTACAATTGATTTGTCTCTGAGGTTTTGTGTAAAATATTATGTTTACTTAAGTATTACAACAGAAAATAATTAAGTATGCACATAAATTATTGTGAATTACTTTAATATAATCATTCTAAATTGTATATATTTTTTATATATTGCTGAAATAATAAGATTATATACTTACACTATTATTATTTTGATTTGAACAATCTGGTAATTCTTTTAGAAGTGTTGAATTAGCAAACCATCTAACTTTTGTTAATGCCCATGGATTTGCATCAGTAATATTACATAATAATGTTACATTAACTTCATCATTCTCTTTAACTGGACCCTTTGGTAACATAATTACTTCAACTGATGGAACATCTACATAAATAAAAGTGAAAATGTTTTATAAGAATTAAAAAACAATTTTAAATGGAATTATTTAAAGCATAGAGAAAAATATTTTAACACAATATTCGTTTGCTGAATGCAATTTTGATCCATATGACATATTTTTCGAATCGAAAAAATCGAATCTGAAGTTTAATAACATTTTGTTATTAAACTACGTGACGTGTTCGAGACCTATGTAATTTACTTAGAAATGGTCCAGTGATATATGAGCAGTGAAATTTAGATCTATATCCACGTTTATGTTCTTAAATATTCACTTTGTATGACGTGGATAAAAAATTTAATGAATATATATCAAATATTTTAAATTGTTTGCGGCAGGCTAGTCACCTACCTAATTAGAACACTGTGACACAATGAAAATGGAGCACGGCTATCGATGATATCATGAATTAGCCCTATGTAGTGAAGAACGAAAAAAAAATTTAATAGCTGCCGTTTTACTAGGATGTTAATAAAAATTTATATATAAAACTTAATGAGATATTGAAATACGGATTGCATATTCTAAAAGATCATCCTAGAAAATCTATGAAAATGTTCTTAAATCAAAAATCATGAGAGTTGCATATAGATCAAAATTGTACTCGGGTACCGAATTATTACTTGAGTGTATATTGAAATTATTTTTAATTAATTTTCACATTTATTTGTACTAAGAAACTTCCCATAAATCTGGTGTATACATATGAATTGTATTTTTGCATACGGTTTTCCTATTAACATAGACATTCCAATTTATATGGTATTTAATTTCGAAATCCGAAGAAGCTATTTTAGTGAAAAATTTTAGTGAATGTATGAGGATATATTATCGATTTATACTACGTTTCAGCATAAGTGACGATAAGGATTAGACGCACGAAAAGAAGCTACAAAACATAAGACTTTGTACAGCAGTTTAAAGCTTGACATCTTTCAATTCATTAAGGCCATGGAAATCAATTCAAATAACCTGTTATATCTTTATTTGCCGCTATAGAATCTTTGCTTTTTTTAAAGGACATATTTGACTTGGGATATTTTTATTTTTTTCAAAAATTGCCCCGACGTGTAACACAATATTATCGCAAATTATTTGACAAACATAAAGAATATTTTTCATTTCCCTTAAATCGTATTTTAGACATATAACATACGTTTCGTTCGGACGAGAAATATTTTTTAATAAAAGGGTTCAATATTATTAATAAAAAACTCGTAAACATTCATTTTGAATTTTTTTTTTTTACTTACAAAGAACGTCTAATTGAATTTGTACTGTAGAATTTCCACTACCAATTGAATTTGTTAATTCACATGTATAATTTCCTCGATCATCACGATGTGCATTTAATATTGTTAATGGTACATGATCTGGACTACCACCTTCATAATGACCACTCTTATTTATTTTAATTGGTTCACCATTTTTGTACCTGTACAGAAAAGAGCAAATTCAAATAAAAAATAAATTAAATTGCATTGCAATCAATTACAAATATTAATAATGAATGTTTAAAGGATAATTTTTTTAATACGAAAATATTTGTGTTCCATCAAAAGTTATTTAAATTTTACGTTTTATTTATTTACATATATTGCATAATATTCTGAATATGGAAATTTTTTTAATTAAGAATTAAACATAATCATTTAGTAAATGAAATTATATTAAATTTAAATATTGTCATTTTCCCAAAACAAATCTATTTTATAATATTCAAAAAATAATTTCCTATATAAAATGAAAGTATTCTGCAAACTTGATATTGAACATTGAATTACATTAAATATGAACTAATTATGTTTGAAAATTTTCAAAATTTTCCAAATAGCTTGATTATGTAGGTATTGTAGGATAGAAATTTCAATGTATGTGTTCAAATTTGAATTATCAAACTCTTATTCAATTCGAATTAAATTTATTGACGTTGCTCTTAATATTTCTATAGTAATATTTTTTATTAAAATTTATGTTACAATACAATTTTATGGTTAGCGATCAAATTTAAATTAAAAATTTTTTACCCTGAATTTTATTTCTATATTATTTTATTTACTAGGTACATACGAGTATATATTTGGGGAACCAGAAAAGGAAAAAAAAAAACAAATAATATTTATGTTTTTGTGTAATTTCCTCTTTTTTCTTATGAGCGTGTATTGAATGTTTACACTCGTAATATTGTATATTTTACAAAATATAAACACAAAAACGTTTTAAAATCAAATTTTCAATGGAAAAATTTATTAAAATTTTTCTGATACACAAATATTGTATGAAATGTTATACCAAATCATTTGATAGGGTTTCGTTTTGAAAGGCCATACTTCATATAAAGCCATAATTTAAAAAAACAATTGCAATACAGTCAAACTTCTATAGCATGAACTCTCGTAAAGACGAAATTCTACGTAAAAACACGAACGGTTTTGTTGCGTAATATTGATTTTTGTACTTTTCATACCCCATAATTCGAATTCTTTCAAACATGAACTAATTTTTTTTTTCCCCAAAATTGTGATTCGTGTTACAGAGATCTGACCTTATATATTATACGAGTATGCATGTAAAATTATATTGAATATTTAAATTTTAATTGATATTTTTAGTTTATGAAGTGATGAAGTAAATTTTAGGTTTTTCATCGTAATAGAATAGTCTACTTAAATAAAATCGTATGATTACACTTATTGTACAAGAATATACAATTTGATCAGTGAATTTTGACTGATTTTTGAAAGTGAAAACTCAGTTAAAATTGATTTTAAGCCCCTGTAGCTCCGAACCTGTAGAGCTGTGAATATGGTATCGCTACAAAAAATTTGTCTACTCATGAGAACCTATACAATGGCATATATCAGTGTACTCTGTTACGAGATACGCTGTAATATACTTGCAGTTTTTCTACTTATATTTGAAAATTATTAAAAATTGCCTACTTTTGGGGGATGAATGGTTGAAATACAGTTTTAAATAAAAGGAATAAAAATTATTTTAAATATGTAATAAAATTTTACAATTATCCATTCACAATCGCAGTTGAAAAAATACAGGTTCATAATACTCTATTAGAGTTTTGAGAACTATTTAGAGAAGTATTTTAGAGAAAAAATAATATGACTATTAAGAAAAAAAAAATTCACCATTGATTTTAATGATTAAAGTAATTAAGAATGCAGGATGATTATATATTTTTATAACTATATTAAAATCAATTAATTTTCATCCGTTTCCATATATCTTTCTCTCTCTCCTTTTCTCGCTCTCCCTAATTCAATTCAAATTCTTTTTCTTCAAATCGTTATTCAATTCTAGTTATTCAATTCAAATTCTTTTTGTACTCTTGATAAATATTAATTGCTCAAATCGACTTTATAAAGTTTCAAATCCGATTTAAAATGTAATTTTATTTTATAAGATCTAATTAAAAATAATCGCCTAAATATATGCAAAATTATCATCAAAAATTTATACTTAATATATGTATTATAAGTATTGTCAATTTCTATTCAATAATTAAATAATTTCAAATATTTTTAATTAAATGTTTTACTTTTAAAAACCATTATACAGTTTTGCATATACACATTTAAATCATATGTGTACATACTCATGTTGATATTCATTTAATTTTCCATCAACCAGAAAAAAAAGAGGTTTAGTGATGTCAGTTTTAAATGTGTATGTGTTTATATTAAAAACTATTGTGATATTTGACACAAAACATTTTAAAATGTTTAATTTTTTTATTTATTTTAAAGTGTGAATTTAAATATATTTTTATTTTTTTCTATATTTTAGTTATTTCTGGTGTTTTTCCGGTATAGTAAACAAAGGATATTTCAAACAGAAAGATATGTGAAACTATTCACATTCAATTGTTTTAAAATTTAATTGATATTAAAAATTTTGTGAAGTTGAATGCAGTATTCAAAGTCATTGGGATTCAACATTTTCTATATGATGTATATGATATTTTTCTGTTGTTGATTTATAAAATAAAATTGTGCAAAATGGTAGGTATTTAATAATAAAAAAAAAATATCAATTTAGAAATAGTTTTAATTTTTTCATTTTAAAAGGTTTCAAATGAACAAGTTTTTGATTTTATTATATTAATTAAATTGAAATGACTTATTCATTTAGATTATTAATGTTACTTTTTTTTTGCGATATATGGAAAAGTTAATTGATAGTTGAAAAAAAAAGAGTTTAGTAAAATGCTATATAATATTAATTAAAAATTCTTGAAATATTCTCGTTTTATGCGAATTCAAAAATTTTTTAGCAATTTTATGCAAATGGCAATTGCATATCAAGTTGTTTTCGAATGATAGTTGTCGATTTTGGCAGTTCTGCATGCATTTTCCGAAAATTATGTTTGTGAACACACTTATATGCTAAGTACTATAAAATCAACGAACAATTAGGCCTTTTTGTAGAAGTAATTACTATTATCTAGTGGTGCTGCGGAAATTTTGTTAGTAAGGAAACTAAGCTTTTGTTAGCTCTCATAAAAATTTCTATTTTAAATAGTACATATATTCTTTAAGCGTGTCATTTAAATTTAAAATCAAAAATATTCCATAAACAGAAAAAAATTTATAGTATGAAATTTATAGTATGAAAAATTTACATATTACTTACCATCTAACACCAGTTAATGATGCTGGATTTGCTATAAATTCACATGTTAATGTTGTCTTTTTATGTTCATTTACAGTAATATCATCTTCTAAGACTTCAACTACTGGTGGATCTATATATTAGCAAAATTATTAAACTTAATTTAATAACTAGTTAAAAAAATAAATTAATTATTAAAACTTACATAAAACTTCTAATGGAATTTCAGCATGTATCGGTTTCTCATTATTACGTTTTATAACAATATTTGTTGCATGACAACCAAATGTTATATCATTTTCGAAACGTGATGCTGTAAATATTAACTGACTTTCAGTATCATATGTTCCATCTTTTTGTAATTGATGATATAATCTAATATCGACACCATCACCATTTTCATTTGGATCGATAATTTCAGTTCCATTCGTCCATGATATATTTGCTGATGGACGAGCTCCTGCAACCTGATTGAAATTTATGGAGTATAATGCAATTAATTAATATTTCTAATCCAATATAACAAAAAATTTTGCTTCCATTTTATAATAGCAATGAAAAATGAAAATTTCTTATATGCAGATGAAATTAGAGAAAATAAAAGAATTGTAGAGATTATTTGAAAATTTTTATTAAAAGGAATTTGAATATTATTTTTCGTAATTAAAAATTTTATTTTATGATTTTTTACTGATTATTTTAATGAAATCTATTATACAATGATATTGGAATATTAAATTTGACATTGACCTGAAAGTAACATTATTTTAAGGATTTTATAATCTTTTCGAAAATTTAATATTTTCTTTTCCGTTTTTAGATTCATTTGTGACGGTATATAAGTGAATTTTTGCTCTTGATTCTTAAATTTGTATATAACGCAGCAGTGACTCTGAACATTTTTTGTTACCAACTTGTAGCATAAGAATTAAATTTAGTTGATTATCTTAGTCTAACGTGCAAAAGATACTCGAGTTAGTTGATAATTTAGGAAATATCGTGAAAGTACTGAGGGTCCAGGTTGAAACAATGGGTTAAGTGAAGCTTTTTTGTCAATAATTACAATTTACAAACGAATTGTAATGTAAAAACTACTTCTGCTCCCTCTACAGTGTCAAAAAAATCAAGTCATGTCACAGAAATTAAAAAGCACTGGTAATGAAAATTTATAAAAAGAATTTCCTACTTTTATTTTCAATTCTTTCTTCATTGAAAATTCAATGAATATGAAACTGAATACTAAAAATTATTTGAAAAGAAAATCTAAGAATAATGATTTCAATATTTATTTTTCAGTCTATTCTTTTGAATTTATTGAAATCACCCCCATCTAAAATTGTTATTGCAAATTTTGCAACTATAAGTATTTAATTTTTTTTTTCCATTAAATTTATTGAAAGCATTAATTAATTTTGAAATTTAAAACTTACCTTACAGCTTAATGTTGTTAAGGTACCTTGTGTTGTATGATGTCCTACTCCTTCTAATTGAATACCAGTTGGACGAACTATTGGAGTTGAAATTGAAAACTCATTAGAATGAAATTGCAATTAAAACTTTAACTATATTATGAATTGTATGGATATATATATGCATACTAAAATGATTTTTCAATAATGAAAGGATAAAAGGACATTTTGCGATTTAACAAGTAACAGAAAGTAAAACTAAATATATTCCTTTGAGGGCAATAGCTTGCGTTCGAATCAACGATTTTAAAGATGGAAATTAAATGGTATAAGGTGATTTATTTTGAGTTTTTTAAGAGAAGATTGAATAAAGATGCGAATAGAATTTTTCAATATTTGAAAAAATATCACAAAATATTTTTAGTAAAAATTTTTAGATTTTGTTAAAATTCAACTAATTGCCGTACCTTATTTCTCAAAATTAATTTTTACATAATATTTTTATTAGATTAACTAAAATGAGACTGGTTGCAGAAGTAATTAGATTTAATTCTTTGAAAAAAAAAATTGTCCTTAAATGTTGCTGATAACAAATTGCTGTCCTGGTCAAAAATACTAATAATATTTTGTTAAAGCAAGACAATGATTTGTACGTACGGATACGAGGTCATCTTGTAGAATAATTTATTACTTAAGCAAGAAGAGGTGAAAAAATAAGAAAAATTTGCAAAAGAATTTCTAAATTAATGAATGGGAATAAAAACAATTGAAAATTTTCTTAAAATTTTCATTAATTTTTCAATAATGTCACATAATCAGAAAAAAATGTAACGAACAAGTATGAAAAATCCAATAACAAAAAAAAAGTTTTTCATAAATGAAATTATACATTCATTGTATTGCAACAGAAAAAAATAAAGATAATGTCCTTCTAGTTTTTCATTTTTATCCCCGGACAATTTAGATAAATTTACATTTGTGCAAATATTTACTTTGATGTATGAATATTTTAAATATGCCTTCAGGGGAAATTATTAACAACTATTGATTCAGTTGAATTTCTCATATATCCTTTTTTTATTCCACATTTACAATTATATTTCAGGTACATAATTTATAATGTATGAATAGAAAAATGAACATAAATTAAAATTGGAACAACAAAAATATCTATATGAATAGATATAATATATTCTATTTGTATAAATAGAAGAAAATTTTTAAATTATTGAATATGACCGGGATAAATTATAATGGAACATGATTTCAACAGATTCACCAGCAATAGTAATAATAATGATTGGAGTAAATTTTTCGAATAAATAATTTTTTATGAATAAAAATGTGTATAAAGGGGAAATTGCTTTCATATGGTTTATCATTACAAAAATTTCTTAAATTAATTTCCGAGAACAATTATTAACATTATTGCTTTAATAACTGTTAATTATGAATTGTTAACGTTTTTAAAAATTTAATCAATCTGTTTAAAATTGGTAAATTGATTAAAAAATTGAATATAATTGAAATACACCTGTGGTGAAAAACACATACTGTGGTGAAAAAACACAAATACTGTGGTGAATATCTGAATTTTTATTAAATAAATCTTAAATTTTGTAAGATTTTACGAATTCTTTAATTTTTCAAATAATATTTTAAATAATCGTAATTTAATTACTTTTTACAAGATCTTTGGAATGATAAATTTTTGGAAGAAAATGTTGTTTCCCTTAAAATTTCTATGATATTTGCAGCTTTAAGTTGATAGTATGCGACTTCAGCTTCTTATTTGCTAGTTTAAACTGTATCTTATACATATTTAAATTATATGTATATATGTTATATATATTGGTATAGAATAAAATCTATATAGAAATTAACCATTCTGCACATTTATTTCTCAACTAATTATTTTTAATTGAAGAACGTTTTTATTATTATTGTTATTATTTTACGTAGAAAATTAGGTAAAAAAATGTTAATTTCCAAATAGAAAATTTCCCAAATTTTCATTATATTAATCTCCTATACAAAATTAATCCTATGAATTATTAGTAAGTTTCGATTTTGTTTTTATTCACACAAGCTTAAATTTTTATTTGTATTACAGTCTAATAAAGCTAAGCAGAATGAGTATTTAATTGAAATTTGTGTTGGAAATTCAATTTATTTCAAAATTAATTTTCAAAAACATTTGTAGGTATTGGTTACGCCATTATAAAGTGTGGACAATCTTTTCTAAACAGAAAGTAAAATTTTATTTTTAATTATAAAAAACATGAGTTCATATTATTCTTTATAAATGTGAGATAAACTTACAATTCTAAATAACGAAATCAAGGATATCAGGAAGAGAATGATAACGTAAATGAGAAATTTAATTGAATTTATGAGATTTGACCGCAAATATTATCACCATGCAATGTAATAAAGAAAATCATATGAACACCAGCTTTTCACGTTATTCATAAAATTAGCCCTTATTTCAAGATTTTACTGTTTTTCATCTCTTTATACAATAAATTTATGCATGTTATACAAATATCTGATTTTTACTATAGTTTTTCCTTTTTTTTTTTTCATTATCTCCAATTGATATTCAAAAGTTACAGTATCCATTGATGGAGGAATATAAAAAGTGAAAGAACGAAAATTTCCATTCATAATAAAATAATGCAAGAAAGAATAATAAAAAAAAAAAAAGAAGAAGAAAAAGAAAAGAAATCTTTATTCCCTAAAAATTAATCTACCAAATCTTACTATTATTCAAAGCTACTATATATACCTTTGTATATCTATGTATATAACATTCATGTATGCCATAATTGACTCAATAATTGGTGGAATAATTTAAGGATTGAATTCAAAAATTTATCAGATATAGAAATCAAAATAAAATAGGACAAAATGAAAATAGAAAAATAAACAAAAGAGAAAAAGAAAAATTAAAGAAATAGCAATATTATGAAAGAAAAATAGAAAAGAAAAATACAAACAAAAACAAAGATTGATCCTTAAATTGAAATGAAATCAGAAAATCTACATCTTATTTACCATATACAAAAATTCATATTATAGCACAATGTAATTCAGTTCCCGTTCAGAAAACCATCATAAATATTAAAATTACAGATTAGCATCTGCATAAGTTCCTTTTAATATTCAACCATATATTACATGGTTGGATCTTGGATCTAAGAAATATTCATAAATTGCTATACATATGAATAATTTCTCAGAATAAACTTAACTGAATTGAATTATTAAATTTCGTATAACATAAAATAATTTAAAAGTGAATAAGTCAAATATTAAATAATTTGAATTTCAATGAAAAATTATAAAAAATTATTTTTAAATTGAAATTTTTTTTTTGTAATTTTAGGTAAATTGATGTTAGAATTTAAACATTATTCAAGAATTACTCGCATTCTGCTCACCAAAAAGTTTCAGTGATTCCATTTTCGCTATAAGTGCTTAAGTGTATATTTCAATAAAATATGGCAGTATTCTTTGGAGTCATCAATTATTATTGTTGAACTTTTCAAAATATTGTTAAAATAAAATTCAACAAAAGTCTATTTTGAATATTTTGAATAGGAATTAAGAATGTATTTAATATATGTTGTACATATCTATGTTCGACAGAATTTTCTGTATAGTTGGGCATATTATTGTAGAAATGAGATTTATATAAAATGTAAGCAATCTCTCTATTTTTCTAAATCTGTATACATAAATATACGTGTGCATATGTATACAGTGTGATTCACCAGGAATTTAGGAGCCGTAAACCACCGTGTAGAGGGTCGAAAATGAATAAAATTTTTCTTCGTTTTGTTAGTGTTAAATCGGAACCGTTTTCAAGATACAGGGATTTTAAGAAAATTTTGCGAAATTTTGACATAATATACTGAAGTGCTTTTGTCTGTAACTTCCGTTCCAAAAAAGATAGAAGTTTCAAATAAATAGTATTTAAAAGAGCTTTAAGAGGGGTTTAAATAATTTGACAGTGAATTATTTGGTTTTACATGTTTTTTTCGGAAATACAAGCATTCGAACTTTAGGAAAATTTCAATTTTCCTCATTTTTTATTTTTTTAATTTGTTTGTCTCGACAACTTTTCATGAATTTTTTTGAAGCTTTCAAAAATTCTCTTTACAGAATTTTGCCTAGCCGCTTGAGCTTTGATTTAGACCATCAACCATTAAAATATTTTTATATAATACAGGAGATACAGCAAGAAAACCATATGACCCGATGGTATATTGCTTCTAACTTGTTGTTGAATTACCCTGTATATTACAATTTCGAAGTTGCTAAACAACAGGAGTTTATATAACAAAAAACAAAAGTTAAATATAAAAGTGAAAATTTAATAAAACATACACATAGGAAAAAATATATAAAAAAAAACACAATTTTTTTTTTTTGTTTTCTTCTTGTTAAATTTCTTGATTCTCCCTGGAAATAACTAAATCAGCATTAATTATAATAATTACACATTCATTTTCTAAAATGTATACTTTAATCATACATGTACATATATATGTGTATGTGCAACATACAAGTATTTCAGTACATATATTGAAAATTCTTCTCTATACTGTATATTATTATCCAGTTAAAAATATTCTCAATATACACGTGTATTACATGTTACTTATATATTATATAATGGTATAACATATTCCATATATACAGAAATAATCAAAAAATATACATGATAAAATTGAAATCATTTGAATATGTAACGAGAAAATACAATATTTGAAGAATCGAATATTAAACAAGATAAGAATCGCAACTAAATAAAATAAAAACAAAAAAAAGAAAACGTAATATAACTATAAAGTAAAAGAATAAAAGAAAATTTCACAAAGGATAATTGGAAAATTTCTATTCTATTCAATAATATTATAGTAAAAACAAAATTAGTGTATTATGTATGAAATGAGGTTTTATATTTTATTCATAATACTCTTATATATATATATCTATGTATATAATAAACATACCTTGTAAGTCCAATTTTATTAAACTTTTATAAATATCATCGAGAGCAGCTGACTCAACACGACATTCAATATCATTATCTAAATCCTGACGGGACAAAACAAGTGATAATTCTAAAGTGGCTGTAAATAGACCATCTTCATCTTCATCGTAACTTGGTGAATCTGAAAAAAAACAACCACACATATATATATATATAATAATATATAAATAAATAAAAAAAGGATAAAAATAATGGATAATAACAATAAAAAATAAAAACGTACAAAAAATAAGAAATAAAATATTCAATATTGAATTGATTTACTTATTATACATTTATACATACATATATACAATATTTACATAACATTTTCGAATATCTATGTATGTTAATCATTGAAAACACACATATACAAATATATAAAAATAAAAAAAAAAATTGAAAAAATACAATTGTAAAGTAGATTATTGAATGTAAATGCGAAAAATATTCTAAAAGAAAAAAAAAAACCGATTTTTTTTTCTCCAAGTCAGTATAATGATTGTGTGTATTTCTATAAAAGGACGAAAAAGTTCAAAATGTGAAAAATAATAAACTTTAGTGAATTTTCTCTCTATTGTTATTATTATTTTTATTATTATTACTTTGGGATTTATTTATTCATTTTCGATTTTCATTTATTTTGAAAAAAAAAAACAGAAAAAGAGAGTAATATTGATTTTAAGGATTAGGATAGTGTTCTATTGTTTTCATTTCAAAAAAAAGAGAATACAAAACCAAAACCATCTAAACCTATAATAAAAAGAATAACACATTTTATGGTGTGGCCAACAAAAAAAAAACATAATCTCATTAAATAAAATCAATGACAATAATAATTTAATAAAAAAAAAAAGGATCACTCGTAGTATAGTATACTTGTACTGTTAATGTTAAAAAATACAATGATTTTAATAAAGAAAAAGAAAAGGACAAAAATACTTATGTATGTAAGTACTAAGCAATAAGATTTTTTTTTTATTGTTTTGTTATTTTGTATTTGAGTACTTATTAAAATTTATATAAAGGATTAAAATAAATGCAATAGATTTTGTATATTTTCAAAGCTTGTTATTAATAATTAAATTAATCTAAGACATTATATATACAAAGGATACAATGGCAATTCTCGATTTTATTATTTTTAATATGAAATTTATGTGGATAACGAATTTAAAGGCAGCTCTTAAAATTATAATTATAAGAAAATGTTAATATAGAAATTTAAAATTTACTTGTAGGTTTTCGGAAAAAAAAATCTATTTTGTATTCAAAACATAAAATTGCTGATTCAAAGCATAAAATTGTAAAAATTTTTAGTTGAATATTCGTATTATGTAGATAATTAATTAAAATTATGCTAGTAAATTAAAATACAACAACAATATATATTTAATAATTTTAAGATACGGAATAAGGTACAATATCTATTACAGTTGAATCAAAAACCATAAAATCGAAATTAATTAGAATCCTTCTTCCAAAAATGTTCTAATTACATATTCAAATTTTCAATATATACTTCTATAAACACAAGAAAATTTACCTCACTGGTTAATATTTTCGTAAAATGACTGCATAATTTTTCTCCCAAAAAGTCTAGAAAAGTAAGAGAGCTGTTCAGAAATATCAGAATATTCAGAATAAATCTGGTCCCAAATCATGTAAAAGGATTATAGTTTGTTTTATTCCAATAAAACATGGATTATTGATCTATGGGGAGTAAGCTCACTACCAAACTTAAACACAATTAAAATTTAACAAAACAAGGCAATAAAACACTAATATAATAAAGAACATTGACTCTACTTATCTCTACAATGTTCAGTACAACGTTAGCTTAAAATAGCTCAAGCCGATCATATACTATATAAATTAAATTTCCTTATTATTTTTCAGAAAATTTTACCATCCGTGGAATAATAAAAAATTTCGAATATGGCTACGTACATACGTAAATGAATTAAATTTATATAAAGTTGGGTCAAACCAATGGTTTGTATTGTAGCACTTTTCCCTTCAAGAAATGAAAATACTGCTTTGAAAAATATTCTATGTACACTACTATGTATATAATACGAATATACACAATTAAAAATATTTTCATTCATATAAGAAACTATTTCTAGCATTGCATATATCTAGGATGGACGATTTATGCAGTCTTTGAAATAAAGCAAAAATTAATAAAAAGTGGGTTTAACATAATGCTCGATTTTAAGCGTTAATTGCATGAGTTAAGAAAAATAATTATACTTTTTAATGTCATGGAATTTGCCATTAGCTTCTTGCTTTTATAGAAATTTGAAAAAGCTTCCGGTTTCGGAAATATGAGGCGACAAAAATTCAAATTTTACAAACTCCAAGAGGCGATAACTTGAGAGGAGGTGAAGATGGAAAAAAATTTTCTCCTAACAAAATAAATTATTTATTTTCTAACAGCTGCTAAAATTTTAGGCTCCTACAACCTGGGGTTTAGAATAAAACCGACATAAAAAATGTGGAAAAAACGGATTTTAAATAACGGTAAATTTGAACAGCTATTTTGTTTTTTTAAAATTTAACTATAATATGTAAGGCCATTTGTAGGGTTCCGGAAGGGGGGGTATAACTTTTAGAGGGGGTGAAATAGGTAAAAATTAATATAAAATTTCAGCTTTTTATCTTCAAGAGTGTAGAAATTTTGCAAACATGTCCATGGACGGACGGACGTACGGAAAGAGAGGAACTAATAAGCACTCTTTTTCAAAAAATTTTTGAAAAAATGCTAAAAATTACAAAAACTTTTAAAGTGGTTTAAATTTTCTTTAATTTTTTAAAAAAATAAAAAAATTCAAGTGTTGTTCAATTTAATTTTACAATATAATAAATTTTAAATTGAGGACAGATTTTTAATTATAATTGAGGGTCTTTCCAATTTCTCATAATCTAATCATAGCATCTACCATTAAACATTTTTTTTTCTTTTACTTTTTTTTCATGTATTCTTGTTTGAGTTTTAACTTTGGTCTCACAAAAATATTCAATCCTTTTTTGTTCCCGTCTTACCTTTTTCTACGTAATATATGTGTTTGTTTTTGCTTTTTCTTATATAATAATAATAAATGTAATAAAAAGGAATAAAAAATAAAGAACAAAGAAAAAATTAGAGTCCTTTTTACTGGTAACATTGTTCTTAAATAAAATTCTTAAAAGAAAAATGACATTTGTTTTTTTTTTCCAACCCCGTTCTGTTGTTTTTTTGTTATATAGAATTCGAAATTCCTTTTAATAAATGTGAAGGAGCAGATGAAATAAAAAAGTGTACCTTAAAATAAAATATTACATACATACATTCATACATATATGTGCATGTGAATTTGTAGGGGTGATATGAAATATTGTTTGTAATAAATTATTTCTGAATGTTTTTGAATCCTTTTTTTTTTTAAACACATAAGCATTTCGAACTTGAATTTAGAAGACAAATATAAAAGAAAAGACAATAAGATCCATTACGGAAGAAAAAGGAAATGTTTTTTTATTTTTTTTTAATTTTTATTACTTTTTTTTCCAATTTTAGATCAATCAATTTCACATTACCATTACTCCTTTATTTTAATGGTATTTTTTTTGTTTGTTTTTTGTTTTTGTACATGATTTTGATTTTAAAAGTGTGATTCATTTCAAATTCCATTTTTGATATAAAATTTAAAATTGAAAAATTTAATAAAGAAAATTTTATTTTAAATTGAATTTAGGCTCTTAAAATCTTAGTTATTAATAAATTTCCTTAATAGTTTTTTGGAGCGAGACTTAATTGTACATTGAAACTATTCAGTACCGTACACTAAAACCGTTCAGTCAAGGTATTATGACAATAGTGTTAATTGTTATATATCGCAAATCGATTATAACATTATAGGAAAGCCAATATTAGTACAACGTAATAAGACTTATAAGAATAATTCTTAAAAGAATAAGTAATAGAAATTTCTTTATACAACTGCAGATTAGAAGATTGTATATATAGCAATTTCATATAAACAAATACTTTGAAATCATGTACGTAGACAGCTGCAAAGCAATGTAAAGAACAATTTGCTAGTAATTTCCTCATATGTATATATATAGCTTAGTTGGTAGAGTGTCTGCCTAGAAAGCGGTAGGTCACTGGTTCGAGTTTAGTTCGAGGAAAAAATTTTTTTTTAATTTTTCGGCCTTGACTCATTCTTTTGACAACGTCAGCCATCTATTTTGCAGTTTTATAAAGGAATTTCTATTAGTTAGACTTGTAATTGGACAAATCGCTCAAGAATTTTTTAATGTACAAATTAGTCATAAACTAAATCAAAAATATTAACAATTTGCTTTTACAACACTATTCAATTTCTAGTAAATACGGTATTAAAATAAAATATTTGAAAATGAACAACATATATATTTAAAGGAAATTTATTTTCTGGGGCTTTGGAAAAATAGTAAGGTAGCATCATTCAATTTGCATAGTACTACCTTTCCATTTCTGCAAATACCCAAATAGTTTTACGAATATCAAATTACATAGTAGAGCCCCTGAAATTCTTGGGATCAATACAAACACATGTTTAATTTTATATTTCCTAAGAATCTGTAAATCATAAACACTTATAGTTTACAAGATTTTAAAAATTTATTTTTTTCAAAAAGTGTATGACAACTTTTCTTCCAATTTCATATATTTTAAAATTTTCTTTGATCTCACCTCTTTTATGAACTTTCGACATAATAATGTATACATATATAAATATTTATTTTCCAGTTTTTTGCTTATATTAATTTTTAAAATTTTCTTATATTTAATAAAGTATATAATGTGAAAAAGTTCGAATATTGAAATGGAAAAATATTTATGTTAAAAGGAAATAGTATTTATTTCTGAAAAAATATTTACTTTGAGAAAAAGGAAATTATTAAAATCAACATAAAAATATTTTAAAGTTAAGTGAAAAAAAAAAATATTTTATATTTCTTAAAAATTATTTCTTATCTGCATAATAAATGTCAATTTTTGAGATTTTTTTAAAATAAAATAAAATTCTGACTTGTAGATGGTATAAATTGCAAAAGTATGGGTAACTGTGCACCGCAATCAGTATATAAGTATCTGTTTTGTCCCCCAAT